GGGGGGTCTTCTCCTGCCCCTGACCAGAGCCAGGACCACCCTCTGCGGGCAGCTCAGTGAGCTCCTGGAACCATCTGCTCTAAGCCTCTTCCTGTGCAGATGGGGAAACTGAGGCCCTGGCACGGGAGCAGGGAGGGAGGGGGCAGGGACTTTCCCGGGGGACGCTCCAGGACAGACGGGACTGTGGGAAGAGCCTGACTTTGTTGTTCTCCTTAAAGAGAAAATAGAAATTGTTCAACTCACTAAGTTTCTAAATTGGGAACAAGCCCATGACACGGCCGAGATGTGTTTGTTTTCCCGTTACGGGCAGTTACAGGGAGCTGCGGCCGGCGGGGGTGAGCCCGGGGGCGGGGGGAGGGGGGACCAGGCACCGCAGAGGCGCCTCCGGGGAGGTGGGCGGAGGGAGGGCCCGGGGGGGCGGCTGCGGGCAGAGCGGGGCACCTGTGTCTTTACCCCCAGCCCTGCACCTGCTCGCCGGGGGTCCGAGTCTGGGGCTGTGCTCGGAGCGGGGCCCTCTCTGGCCTGCCCTTGTGGCAGGTCTCTCACAGGGGCTGTGGGGGGCTCCCCAGGGGAGGTCTGAGCGCCCCACTCCGCTGGGTGTTTTAGCCCCACAGACAGATGGGTACACTGCCCCCTGAGGCCGTGGGCCACACACACTGGCACATTGAGGGCTTCCTGAGTGGGGGCAGGGGCACTGCTCTGGCCCTGAGTCCCTTCCCTGGCGGAGGCGTCAGCAGGCTCTGCGCGCACACATGGGGTGGGGGGACACGGGGGAGAGGGGACACGGCGGGGGGGGGGGGGGGAAGGGAGGGGAGGTAACACCCTGCGGCTGTGAGGACAGGACCCACTGGTGTCAGCCTGTAGGTGCCGAGTGGGTGCGGGATGACACGTGAGTCCCTGAGCCCACGGCCGCCCTCGGGTGCTGGGCAGGTCGATGGGGGGCGAGGGCATCCCACCCACGGCTGGAAGGACAGCTTCGGGGCAGGTCTGCTCGGTGGGAGTGCGGGCCCTGGGCGCGTGCCTGTGCGTGTGTGTGTATGCGTGTGTGCACGTGTGTGCACGTGTGTGCGTGCGTGTCTGGCGGGAGCGGGAGCCCGGCGCAGACCCTGCCTCGCAGAGCCGCCCGCCCGCTCCGGGCCGTTGATTAATCATGGAGCTGAGTGGCTTCCAGCTTATCAGGCACCTTAATAGCTGAATAATTCCAGCCCCATCATCGCGCCCTTAATTGCTTTCTTGTGGCTGCAGCCCCGAGTGCATGCTGAGTGGGTGAGCTCCCCGGGGACCGTCCGACCCGCCGCTCCCGCCCGGCCCCCCGCGGGCCGCAGGCCTCAGCGGCGTGGTCCGCGCCGGGAAGGCGGGCTGAGCTGGCTCAGGAGGGGGCGGGCAGGATTCCCCCGGAGCTGGCACAGCCCCGGGGCGGCCGGGCGGAGCGGGGGAGGCCCCCCGGGGGCGCGGGCACGGGCGCGGGGCCGTCAGGGAGCGTCCCATCCGCCCCCGCTCCCCGCAGCCACCGTCATCCTCAACGAGCTCAACTGGACCGAGGCCCTGGAGAGCGTGTTCGCCGAGAACCGCCGGCGCGACCCCTCGCTGCTGTGGCAGGTCTTCGGCAGCGCCACCGGGGTCACCCGCTACTACCCCGGTGGGTGCCAGCCCCGCCCGCCGCTGGGCCCCGCCCCCCGCCCGCCGCTGGGCCCCGCCCCTCCGCCCCGCTGCTGAGCACCGCCCCCTCCGCCCGCCCACTGAGCACCGCCCCCTCCGCCCGTCCACTGGGCCCCGCCCCGTCCACTGGACACCGTCCACTCCCCATCCACTCCGTCCTGTCCACTGGGCACCGTCCACTCCTCCCCGTCCACTGGGCACCGCCCCCTCCGCCCCGTCCACTGGACACCGTCCATTCCTCCCCGTCCCCTCGGCACCGCCCCCTCCGCCCCGTCCCCTCGGGCCGCCCCTCCTGGGCGTGTGGGTGGGTGGTCGCCCCACAGCTGCTGTCTGCCAGACCCACTCTCCCCTCCCCCACAGCCACCCCATGGCGAGCCCCCAAGAAGATCGACCTGTACGACGTCCGAAGGAGACCCTGGTGAGCGAGCGAGGGCTGGGCAGGGACACCCTCGGCTCCCGCCGCCCGCCCCCCTCCGCCATCCCGGCTGCGAGCGGGCGCAGCCAGCTCTGTCCAATTTTCATTTCACACCTCGCTGCCGCTGGAAAATGGATCCCCTCACCCGCAGCCTCCCGCCGCCCCGGCCCGCGCCTGCCTGCACCCACCCCGGGCTGAGGGGTGGACAGCCAGGCTCCCAGGGGGACGTGTCCTCTGTGGGTCGGCCAGCCCCGCCCAGCGGAGCCCTCCCCTGGCTCTGCCTCCCACAGGCGGCCTGACCGTCCCGCTCCCGCCGACTGAGCAGGTTGGCCTGCACCAGGCTCTGCCCTTGGGGCGCCGTCTGGGCTGGGAACACGGGGGCTGCCCCCCGAGACCAGGGACCGTGCCTCCAGCCCCTCCCCGGGTGCCCCGTTCCCCCTCCTCAGGGTCACTCCCGCGGGGGCCCGGACGGTTTTGTTAAATGCAGTGTCCTCCGCTCCCAGAGCCCCCGGCCCCCGGGGGGCAGCTGAGTCGGGGTACGGGTGGCGGGGGGCCTCACCGGAGCCTCTCGTGGGCAGGTACATCCAGGGGGCCTCGTCCCCCAAGGACATGGTCATCATCGTGGACGTGTGAGTGAGCGTGCGGGCCGGGGGGGGGGGGCAGAGCGGGGGCTGGGACCTGCCGCCGGGGCACCGTGGGGGGGGCAGGAGGACGCCTGAGGCCCCGCCCCCCCCAGGAGCGGCAGCGTCAGCGGCCTGACCCTGAAGCTCATGAAGACATCCGTGTGCGAGATGCTGGACACGCTGTCGGACGATGACTATGTGAACGTGGCCTCGGTGGGTGCGGGCGGCGGGGGGAGGGGGCTGCCGGGCGGCGGGGGGGGGGGGGCTGCCGGGCGGCGGGGGTGGCGGGGGCTGCGGGTCCCCCCCGCCGGCGCCTCACCCCCCGCTGCCCCCGCAGTTCAACGAGAAGGCGCAGCCGGTGTCCTGCTTCACGCACCTGGTGCAGGCCAACGTGCGCAACAAGAAGGTGTTCAAGGAGGCGGTGCAGGGCATGGTGGCCAAGGGCACCACGGGCTACAAGGCCGGCTTCGAGTACGCCTTCGACCAGCTGCAGAACGTGAGCCGGGCGGCGGGCGGGCGGGCGGGCGGCGCGCGCGGAATCCGGGCGGACGGCCTCGTCAGCGCCCGCGGCCGCTGTGGCCGCACCGTCTGCTGCGGAGCGGGCGGCGGGCAGGCCTGCGGGGGGGCCATCGCCGCCCCAGGAGGCCGAGGCCGCCTGACCACCCCCGCCCCGCCCCCCAGTCCAACATCAGCCGCGCCAACTGCAACAAGATGATCATGATGTTCACCGACGGCGGCGAGGACCGCGTGCAGGACGTCTTCGAGAAGTACAACTGGCCCAACCGCACGGTGCGGCCCGGCCGGGCGGGGGGGCACCGGGAGGGCGGGGGCGGGGGCGAGGGGGCAGGCACCCGGAGGGCCGGCCCGGCGGCCGTGGCAGTGACCGGGTCGCACACAGGTGCGCGTGTTCACCTTCTCCGTGGGGCAGCACAACTACGACGTCACGCCGCTGCAGTGGATGGCCTGCGCCAACAAAGGTACCCATCCCTGCCCGCCCTGCCCCCCGCCTGCCCGGCCGGGGTCCAGCCACTTGCTCGCCCACTGTCTGTGCGTCTTCCCACGCGTGTGACCGCCACCCGCCTCTCTCTCTGCTCACGTGTCCGTCAGACTGAGCGTCCGCTGCCCCTGTCGGAACGCCGCTCCCCTCTTGTCTCCCGCCTGTCTGCTCCCGGGTCTGCTTGCTGGTCCATCTGTCCCTCCGTGCATTTGGGCCTGACCCCTGGGTGGACACTGGTTGTCACTGCCAGCCTAGAATGAGGGGCGTCAGGCCTCCGCTCCCCTGTCACCCCAGTTCTGACACCCCTTTCTTACACCCTCCCTCTCCCCCCCAGCCCCCTACCCCCCCCCCCCGCACTCACAGCCCCGCCCCTGGGTCCGTCCTGCTGGCGGGCAAGGGCAGGGAGCACTGACCGGACGTGATTCAGGGGAAGTGACCCCCAAAAGAGAGGGGGCCTGAGGGGCAGGTGGGCTGCAGGCACCCCGGGCACAGGCCCCGGCGGTGGGCCTGAGCGCCGCCCTCACTCACAGGTTACTATTTTGAGATACCGTCCATCGGCGCCATCCGCATCAACACCCAGGTGAGTCCGTGGCCCCCCCCCCCCCCCCCGCCCCCTGCTCCCAGGGGACGGCCCTGTGAGGAGCTGCGTGGGGCGAGCGCGCCCCCTGGTGGCCTGATGCTGCACGGGAGGCGGAGCAGGGAAGGGACAGGGGGAGGGACCCGGTGACCCGCCCGCCATCCCTCCCCAGGAGTACCTGGACGTGCTGGGCAGGCCCATGGTGCTGGCCGGCAAGGAGGCCAAGCAGGTGCAGTGGACCAACGTGTACGAGGACGCGCTGGTGAGGCTCCGGCGGGGCTGCCCCCCCCCCCCCCGCGTGCCCACAGGGTCCGTCCGGAGGCCCCTCAGGGGGAGGCCGAGCAGAGGAGCCAACGGCGCTGTCCCTCTGCTCTGGACACGGGGCGGCCTGGCCGGCCACAGACGCCACCTCTCTCCCTGCAGGGGCTGGGGCTGGTGGTGACGGGGACCCTCCCCGTGTTCAACCTGACGCAGGACGGCCCCGGGGAGAAGAAGGTGAGGGTGCCCGGGGGGACGGGGTGCCCAGTGGGGACGGGGCGCCCGGGGGGCGGGGTGCCCGGGGGGACGGGGTGTCGGGGAGGACGGGTGTCGGGGGGACAGGGTGCCCGGGGGGAAGGGGTGCCCGGGAGGACGGGGTGCCCGGGGAGGGCTGGGCTGGCACGGAGGAGGGGTGGGCAGGCCTGCCCATCGGCCGGCTTGTGAGAGCTGCTTGAAGCCTCGGGCGCGGGCGGGCAGGGGGCTCCCCGTGGGACGGAGCCCATGACAGCCCCGCCTCCGCCCCAGAACCAGCTGATCCTGGGCGTGATGGGCATCGACGTGGCGCTGAGTGACATCAAGAGGCTGACCCCCAACTACACGGTGAGTGTCGGCCCGCACATCCGCCCGCTCTGCCTCCGGGGACACGCCCGGCCTGCAGGGGAGGCTGCTGGCAACCGGAACACACGGGGGGGGGGGGGGGGGGCCTCTGAGTCCAGGCGGTCAGGGCAGGCTTCCGGCGAGGGGCCTTGGGCCTAGAGCTGGGGCCGGCACCAGCCGTGAAGGGCCAGACCGTGATGGACAGCTCCACTGGAGCCCGGTGGGCGGGAGGAGTCCAGGCTGCCCGGTGAATGGGGGTCCCACAGAGCTGGTCAGCAGCTGGCCGGGGGGGCCTGAGGAGCAGGCTTGGGCTCGTGGCACATGGGGGCCCGGCCCCGGCAGGCGATGGCACCCTCGGCAGCGTGGGGGGCGGGACAAGGAAAAGCTCTGTGGCCCTGAGCCCCCCCAGCCCTCCGGGCCCTGAGCCCCCCTTACCCCCCAGCTCGGAGCCAACGGCTACGTGTTCGCCATCGACCTGAATGGCTACGTGTTGCTGCACCCCAACCTCAAGCCCCAGGTAAGCCCTGCGCGCGGCCTGGGGGGGCGGCCCGAGCGGGGGGGGGGGGGGGGGGGGGACGGGACACCTCTGACCTCCGCCCTGCCTCTCCCAGACCACCAACTTCCGGGAGCCTGTGACTCTGGACTTCCTGGACGCGGAGCTGGAGGACGAGAACAAGGAGGAGGTGAGGCCGGAGGGAGCAGGGGTGCGGCGGGCGGAGGGGGCAGGGCCCGCCCTCACGGCTCTGCCTCCTGCAGATCCGCCACAGCATGATCGACGGCAGCCGGGGCCACAGGCAGATCCGGACGCTGGTCAAGTCCCTGGACGAGGTGAGCGGCGGCGGCGGCGGGGGCAGGGGGCGGGCACGGCCCCACCCGCCCGCCCGCGGCCCGGGCCCGGGCCCTGACCCGCCTCTCCTCCTCCCAGCGCTACATCGACCAGGTGATGCGCAACTACACCTGGGTGCCCATTCGGAGCACCAACTACAGGTGAGCAGGGCCCGGTGGGACCGGCGGGGGAGGGGGGGGGAGGGCGGCGAGGGCCCCCCCCAGCCCACCGGCCCCGCACCGTGTGCCGTGGGGCACCCACCGCTGAGCCCTCCCTGCGCCCCCTGACACCCAGTCCCCAAGGGCTCCTGCCGGCCGTCCAGGCGCGGCGCCCTCCCCCGGGAACACAGGACACACCAGGGACACCCCGGCAGCACCCTCCTCCCGCCCCTCCCCCCCACCTGGACGGTGCCCTGGTGCCTGCCCCGGGGTCTCCCTCAGCACACTCCGGGCCTGCTCTCAGCCCGACCAGGTCCCTGCGGGGCAGGCAGGCCGGGTCCCCGTCTCACTCACACCCGTAGCGGCCGGAGCCGCCCCCGTGCTAGTGCCGGCTCTGCTCCGGCCGCTCTCCGGGGCCGCGGACCCTCCTCCCCCAGCAGTGCCCCAGCCTGGCTCACTGGCAGTGCCGGCCCGGTGAGCTCGCTGCTGGCAGGGGGAGGAGGCGGGCAGCGGGTAGGTTGGGGAGGCCACTGGGTGCGAAGGGTGGGGCGGGGATCGGCGTGGGGGCCAGAAGGTCTGAGGCCTCGGGGAGAAGATGGCGAGTGGAGAGTGACCAGCGGGGAGGCAGCCACAGCCTGGGTCTCCGCCCAGCTCCCCCGCCGTGGGGAGGGGGCGGAGGTGCCCGCCTCGCCGGTCGGTGACCCCGCTCCTCGCCCCCGCAGCCTCGGGCTCGTGCTCCCTCCCTACAGCACCTTCTACCTCCAGGCCAACCTCAGCGACCAGATCCTGCAGGTCAAGTGTAAGTGGCCAGCCCCTGCCTGTGCCCTGCACCCCGCTCCGCCCCGCACCCGCACCCTGGCACCCTGGCCGGCCTCGGGCAGCGTAGCCAGCTGTCTGCAGCCAGGCGGCCCCTTCTGCCCCGTCTGCCTGCCCCAGGCGCCCGAGGGCTGGGCACCGCCCGAAAGTCTGTTGGAATCTGCATGCTTGCCTTTTCTCAAATTCGGTTCCAGACCATTCTCTCATGGCTTCCGTTGAGGTTCTGTTTTGGTTTCTCCTACTCCGTGTCTTCCCTCTTTGGCCTGCTCCCCAATGCACCCCCCCCCCCCCCCCGCACACCCCTGGGGTGCATTCCTGGAGGACATGCTCCTCCACCTCCTTCTTCTCCCTGCAGCTCTCACCCCCGGGCGCCAACCCCGGGCCTCCCCCCTCGCCCCTCTGCTGTTCCCCCAACTCATCCTCCCTCGCTTCCCTCTCCTCTTCTTTCTCCCTCCCTCTCGCCCTCTTTCCTTCCTCCCCTCTCTCCTTTTCTTCCTCCCTTACCCCCATCTTCCTGCTCTATCTCCCTCTCTCCCCGCCCTCCCTCTCCCACTCTGCCTGTGGCTCACCCTGCATGTCCCGCCCGCCTGGGCCCCCGGAGCCTGTGGCCCCGCCTGCCCACGCCGAGGTCACGGGGGGAGGCTGGGCTCCGGCCCCCTCGGGCGCTCCCCGCCTGCCTGGCCCCCTGGGCTCATCTCCTTTGAGTTTTTCTCGCTCTCTCTCTCTCTCTCTCTCATGTCGTTTTTTTGCAAGAAGTTTCCTTTCGGTATGATGATAAGACACAATATTTTCATTCAAACAGCCATTGAATAAAATATTGTTTGTGCCCCTCCCCTTCCCCTCCCCCTTTTCGTTTGTTTTTGTGTTTGTGTTGTTTTGTTTTCCTCGCTTTCTCTCTTGGTGGACTGTCCCAGTGCCAATCAGCAAACTGAAGGGCAAGTATATTCAGAACCAGTGCACCCCCCCTCCTCCACCCCTCCCGCCCTCACGCCCCTGCTTGCCCCCCTCCCTGCCCAGGACCGGCCACACCCCCGCTCTCCAGGGCCCCCTCCCTCCCAGCATCCCCTTGGCTCCTCCAGTTCTTGCCTCTCCTCGGATCCCTCCTAGAGCCAGCGGCCCTGTCCCCGGCCCCACCTGCAGGGCGGCTCTCCAGCGTGTTCTGAGAACTCAGGCCCCCTCCTCCCCTCCTGGCTCCCTCTGGGCAGGCCCTGCCCCTCTTCTCTGTCCCTCCAAGGCAACTCAACAGTGGGGACAGGGCAGGAGGCCTCTGCACCACCCCCCACCCAGCAGCGCAGGCCGGAGACGCAGGGGGCGGACCAGGGCTCAGAGGGACTGTGAGGCTCATGGGCAAGGGCCAGCCACAGAGCTTCCTCCTCAGTGGCTCTTCCTCTGCTCGCCAGCGCACACGGCAGAGGCTGGTGGTGCTCCCTCCCCAGGGGAGACGGAGGCTCCGGGAGCCTCCAGCCCTGACCCTGAGGCAGGCGGGCAGGACGGCAGCAGCCAGGTCACCTGGAGAGCCAGGCAGCCAGGCCCATCGTGGGCGCTGGCCAGGGTGCTGAACCCAGAGCCGTGGCTCAGGCCACCAGCCCAGCCCTGCGCTGGGTGCTCTGCCCCGGGGCGGTGGGCAGGCTGGAAAGGTGTCAGTGAAGGCAGACTCTGGGAAGGAGGGGGTCTGTCTGGACCCCAGGGGCCAGCACAGGCGCTCGGAGGGGATGGGGCTGGAAGTGCAGAGCAGGGTCTGCGCCCAGACTCCCGGGAAAGGAAGGGCTGGTGAGAACCAGGGGGAGAGCACACGCAGGGGACTGCCCCTGGCACAGACACGCCCTCCCAGGGGACCCCTGGGCAGAGAGAAGGCCCGTCCTCGGTCCCCGGGGCCCGGAAGCCCTAGGCCAGCGAGGGGAATACAGCGCCCCCGCGAGCCGGGGGGGGGGGGTGAAGGACAGGCCCCCCTCCACTGGCTTGAGTTGTCTTCTCCCCCCTCTGCACCCCTCCCAGGGCCCCGGAACTGCAGGGCCCTGTCACAGTGACAGCCATAGCTCAGCCTCCTTCCTGCTCCCACGCCCTTTCTCTCCTCCTCCTCCTCCTCCTCCCACCCCTGCCCTGTCAGCTTGTGTCCAAACCCTGCCTCCCATCAGAAAGCAACAGTCCAACCAGTGACTCCCCAGGCACCGGAGTCCTCCTTCCCGGAACCTTGCAGTGCATTGTGGGAGTATTGGGGAACAGGGAAGGTCCCTCCTCTGCAAAAGCCAAGCCCTGGGCGACTGAGAGTTCGGAATCTGGGTGTGAGGCTGGCCAGGGGGACACCCCAGAGGCTGAGGGCAGAGAAGGCCCAGCCAGGTGGCCAGTCCCACTAGGCCAGTCCCAGATGCCCCACAAACCCACCTGGGGGCAGCAGCATGCACACACACGCTCATGTCACTCACGCACACACAGGCCCAGTCACTCACGCACACAGCGCCCCATGCCTGCTCTGAGCCCACACAGGTCCTAGGATGGGGGAGACCCCCACCTTCCCTCTCCCCCCCGCCCTCATGCTCCCAGCCCAAGAGGGCAGGTGTGTAGATTCAAGCAACCCTCCCAGCCCCTCCCAGCCCCCAGGATCTCCCCCCGAAGCATGGGAACGTTCCCGGGCACCTCAAGGTCTCCCCTCACCCAGCGCCTACCCTGGGGAGGGCCGCCAGCCCCCACAATGCACTGCAGCCCACCCCAGCCGCCCACACCGTCTCTGGTTGGACTGTCCGTGCCCGTGAGAAACCCCCTCGGTTTGGCCATGTTGATGCCTGACACGGAACAAACGCAAGACCTACCAAAACACAAGCAGCTGCAGCAAAGCAAGAGGGGCACAGATCCGCGGCCAGAGCCCGCTCCCGCCCCCCGCGCCTCCGCGGGGCGAAGGGAGGCAGCATGCGGTTTTTCCATTGCGGGTGCGATGAGTGAGCCCGGCCCCAGACCATGCATATATATAGCAGTGTGTGTATATATATGTGTGTGTGTGTCCGTGTATATGTGCTATACAGCCGTATGGAAGCATATACAGCCGCGCCAGGGGACTCGCTGCCCACCGAGGACCGGGCCTGGGCAACACATTGGCTATAACTGCCCCCTGCAATGCCGTGGTCTCCGCAGGCCCCACCCTCCCGCCCCACCCTCTCTCTCTGGCTCGAACTTGAACTTGGAAGTGGCGGGTTCCCTCTTTGCTAGTGTCTCTCCCACCCTGAAGCCAACCCCCCGCCCTGCCCCTCCAGCCCCTGGAGCACTGAGCCCCCGGCCTCCCGCCTCCCCAGCCCCCGCCGGATAACCCCCGTTTCTGTTGCAGATTTTGAGTTCCTGCTCCCCAGCAGCTTTGAGTCTGAAGGACATGTTTTCATTGCTCCCAGGTAGCTTGCGTGTGGCCTGCTGAGGCGTCCTCCCCCCCGGCCCGCCCCTGCACTGCTGCCTGGAGCTGTGTGTGTCTGTGTCCTGTGCAGTGTCGCCCCCCCCTCCCGTGCATAGCCCCGTATGCGCGCCACGTGCATACCCGGGCCATGTAGCTGAACCAGGCGGCAGTGCCAGCCGCCCGGCGCCCCTCCCGGCAGGCCTGGCCCGGAGGCTCCGGCCCCTCTGCCCGCCCCCCTCCCCTCTCCGGCAGCCAGGCGTCCTCTGTGCCCCGGGCTGGCTGGGCAGCTGCTGCTCTGGTTTGCGGTGCCTCCCCCGCCTGCCCCACCCGCCCCCCGTCCTTGTTCTGTGTCAGTCAGTGTCTGTGTGGGTCTGAGGACCGGCCAGCCAGAGCCCAGTCTGGTCTAGGTGCAGTGGCTCTTGGAGGACAGGGTGGAAGAGGGGGCGGGGACTTGGAGGGCAAGTGAGGGTCAGGCCTGGACTCCCCCTCAAGTGCGCTCAGCATGCACACATGTCCTGGGGCACCCCACATCGGAAGGAGCCAGGGGGCCCCAGGCTCTGGAGGAGGGCAGGGGGTGCTGCCAGGGGATCCGGGGCCCCGTCGGGCACCTCGTTGGGCTCTGGACACGCCTAGCCCCGTGTGTGCACGTGTGTGCATGCACCCGCGTTCCCCGGACCTGGTAGCCATGTTCGTGTTGTGAGTCGCCGGGTGTCTGTGAGACGGCCCCTGTGGAGACGTGCACAGGCCATGTGACCCGCAGGGAGCTCTGAGGACAGGGCCTGTGTGTGTTTTGGCCCCCGTGTCTGTGGCTCGGGAGAGCTCGGTAAACACGTGCTGGGTGAGTGAGTGACGTAACCCACACACAGAAACGCACGCACGGGGTGCGGGGGCCGTCACTCGGGGGACGGCAGGTGCGGCCTCTGCAGCGGAGGGGAAGCTGTGCGGGGCCAGGGGCCGGGGCCAGGGAGCGGGGCGCGGAGACCGGGCCCGGGGCCCTCACCACGCTGTGGGCCCGCAGGGCTCCAGCAGGTGGCTGCCGTGCGGGCAGCGGGAGGGAGGCCTCGGGCAGGGCCGGGAGCAGGACCTGGGCCGGAGAAACGGCTCCTCACCGGACTTCCTGGGGAGCGGAGCCTAAACAGGCCGCACGCCCCCAGCCCCGCCCCGGGCCCTGAGCGGCCCGTCCACGCTGCTCAGTTAGGAAACAAGCCAGGGAGCCAGGCGAGCTGCCCGGCGCAGCAGGCAGCGCAGGGGGAGGTCTGAGTCCCTGCGGCAGCAGTGCTGGGACCACCCTCCTGGTGCTCACGGACCAGGACGGCACGCAGGGGGGCTCCATCCGGGTCCAGGAGAGGCGGGAGGCTCTGCGGGGCCACGTCCCTGAGCGAGACCCTTCCAGGGCGGAGGAAGTAGACCCTCGTTCTGTCGGCTCCGCCCCTCCCCAGACCCGGGAGCCGGCCAGGCCCAGAGCGGCTGCAGCCTGTAAGAGTGCACCTGCCCGCCCGGAGGCCTGGCTGACCAGCCAGTGACCAGGAAGACCTGTTGGGAAGCTCCGGCCCTCCGCCCCGTCCAGCCCCCCAAGCCCACGCCTCTTGCCCCCCCCTCTGCCCCCAGAGAGTATTGCAAGGACCTGAACGCCTCCGACAACAACACGGAGTTCCTGAAAAACTTCATCGAGCTCATGGAGAAGGTGACCCCGGACTCCAAGCAGTGTGAGTGCCGAGGGCAGCCGGGAGCCAGGAGGAGCCGGCAGGGGTGGAAGATGCGGGGGAAGCCAGAAGCCAGGGGCCAGGCGGGGCAGGGCGCGGACAAGGTTCCCATTGGAGCCTTGAGGGAAAGAGGGGTCCCTGGGCGGGAGCCATGAAAAGCTGCCCCATCCCTGCCCTCCCCTTTCAGGCAACAACTTCCTCCTGCACAACCTGATCCTGGACACGGGCATCACCCAGCAGCTGGTGGAGCGCGTGTGGCGGGACCAGGACCTCAACACGTAGGCCCCGCCCGGGGGCTGTGGGGCGGGCGGCCGGGAGGAGCCGTGGGGAGGGCCCGGGAGGCAGCCGGTGCCCTCACCGCCCTGCTGCCCCCAGGTACAGCCTCCTGGCCGTGTTCGCCGCCACGGACGGCGGCATCACCCGCGTGTTCCCCAACAAGTAAGTGGCCTCGCCCGCCAGCCCACACCCGCCCGTGCCTGGGACCCCGCCTCTGCCCTGCCGGCCAGAGGCCTCGGACCCCCACATGCCACCCCCCCGCCAACCTCTGCCTTCTCGGGGGACCAGGGCAGCTGAAGACTGGACAGAGAACCCGGAGCCCTTCAACGCCAGCTTCTACCGCCGCAGCCTGGACAACCGCGGCTATGTCTTCAGGCCCCCACACCAGGAGGGTGCGTGCCCCCCGTCACAGCAGCAGGGGCTGAGCCCCCCGCTCCCCCCCATGCCCCTCCAGGGCGGGCTCTCCTCTCCGAGGCCCGCCCAAACACGAGCAGGCTGGATGGGCGGGGGCGGGGGCGGGTGAGCAGAGAGGGCTGGCTATGCTGAACACTGCCCTGGGTGCTGGGTGCTCAGGTGGGTGCTGGGTGCTCGGTGCTCAGCTCAGCCCCCACTCCTGTCTGCCTCACCCAGCCCTGCTAAGGCCCCTGGAGCTGGAGAACGACACGGTGGGCATCCTGGTCAGCACCGCGGTGGAGTTCAGTCTGGGCGGACGCACCCTGAGGCCAGCAGGTCCGTGCCCGAGGCAGGGGCAGGGAGGGGCCACTGCGGGCAGGGTGCTGCCTAGGCGGGCGGGCGGGCGGGCGGGCGGGCAGGCAGGCACTGACGGCCCTCGCTCTCCCCCCAGTGGTGGGGGTTAAGCTGGATCTAGAGGCCTGGGCTGAGAAGTTCAAGGTGCTGGCCAGCAACCGGACCCACCAGGACCAGCCGCAGAAGGTACAGGGGTGGGGGCCACAAGCCCAGCAGCACCCGTTCTGGAGCCCCGGAACTTCTGCCAGTCAGTCCTCCCACTCGGTGTCTCCAGAGCCGGAGGGAGGCCGGGCTGGGGCAGACGCCTGGGGACCTCAGAGGTGGGTGCTGGGAGGGGGAGATGGGTGGACGCCTTACAGGCCTTGCTCTCTGCCCAGCAGTGTGGCCCCAGCACCCACTGTGAGATGGACTGCGAGGTTAACAACGAGGTGGGTGTGCCCTGGACTTCCTATTCCCGCCCCAACTCCTGGGCCCTCCCCGCCTGACCTCACAGCTCTACCCGAACAGCAAGGGAGGGGGGTGCCCCTCCTCGCACACAGACCACCAGGGTCTGGGAGGAGGTCTGGGCCCAAGACCTCTCCCCCTCTCCCCCTCCTGGCTCTCAGGACCTGCTCTGTGTCCTCATTGATGACGGGGGATTCCTGGTGCTGTCAAACCAGAACCACCAGTGGGACCAGGTGAGGGTCCGGAGAGGACAGGAGGAGGGGCCGGGTCTGAGCCTGGGGGGATGGGGGGGTGCCAGCCTGTGACCGATCCCTCCCCGGACCCCAGGTGGGCAGGTTCTTCAGCGAGGTGGATGCCAACCTGATGCTGGCGCTCTACAACAACTCCTTCTACGCCCGCAAGGAGTCCTTCGACTACCAGGCCGCCTGTGCCCCGCAGCCGCCGGGCAACCTGGGCGCGGCTCCCAGGGGCGTCTTTGTGGTGAGCCCCAGCAATGCCCGGCCTGGAGCTGGGGGGGGGAGGGGGGAGGCTGGGAGAACTGCCGAAAGGTGACCTCTCCCCTGGGAGCGCGCGGGGTGGCACGGGTCCGGGCAGCAGGGCAGCGCGCCTCTCTCCGCAGCCCACCGTCGCCGACCTCCTGAACCTGGCCTGGTGGACCTCGGCGGCGGCCTGGTGAGTCCTCGGGCCCAGAGGGGGTGGGGGGAGAAGGGGGGGCGGGGAGGAGAGAGGAGGGGTGTCCAGGGAGGTGGGAGGGAGCCTGGCTCCGCTGACCGCGCCCCCTCGGTGGCCCGGCCCTGCAGGTCCTTGTTCCAGCAGCTTCTCTACGGCCTCATCTACCACAGCTGGTTCCAAGCAGGTAGGACGGCCAAACCCCTCTCCCGGGGGAGGGCGGGGCCGGGACCCGGCGCGGGGGCGCAGGGCAGCTGCGGCCCCAGAGGGCGCGGGGGCAGAGGGCTGCGCTGAGGCCGGGGCTCCCGCGCGCAGACCCCGCCGAGGCCGAGGGCAGCTCCGAGGCGCGCGAGAGCAGCTGCGTGGTGAAGCAGACGCAGTACTACTTCGGGCCGGTCAACGCCTCCTACAACGCCATCATCGACTGCGGCAACTGCTCCAGGTGCCGGCGGCGGGGCGGGGCCGGGTGGGGGCGTGATCTGTGGACTGGGCCTGTTTGTGGGCGGGGCGTGATATGTGAGCGGGGTCTGATTGGAGGCAGGGGCGGAAGGAGGGGCGGGGCGTGATATGTGAGCGGGGTCTGATTGGAGGCAGGGGAGGAAGGATGGGCGGGGCGTGATATGTGAGCGGGGCGTGGTATGTGAGCGGGGTCTGATTGGAGGCAGGGGCGGAAGGAGGGGCGGGGCGTGATATGTGAGCGGGGTCTGATTGGAGGCAGGGGCGGAAGGAGAGGGGAGGGCGGGGCCTGTTTCGGGGGCGTGGTCTTGGGCGGGACCCGGTGGGCGGGGCCTGTCTGGGGGCGGGGCGGCCTCTACGCCCGCTTCCCTGTGCCGCCTCCAGGCTGTTCCACGCGCAGAGGCTGAGCAACACCAACCTGCTGTTCGTGGTGGCGGAGAAGCCGCTGTGCAGCCAGTGCGAGGCCGGCCGGCTGCTGCAGAAGGAGACGCACTGTATCCTGCCCCCGCCGCCCCCACCCCGTCCCCTCCCCGCGCCCCGCACCCCCCGCGCCCGCACCCCCACGCCGCCCGGCCGCCTCCTTGACTCCCCACCCATGCCCAGCGGACGGCCCGGAGCAGTGCGAGCTGGTGCAGCGGCCGCGGTACCGGAGGGGCCCGCACATCTGCTTCGACTACAACGCGACCGTGAGTGGGGGTGGCGGGCCGGCCGCTGGCTCTGCTCCGGGACTGCGGGCCCCGCACCCCCCCCCCCCCCACGCCGGGCTGACCGCCCCGTCCTCCCGCAGGAAGATACCTCAGACTGCGGCCGCGGAGCCTCCTTCCCGCCGTCGCTGAGCGTCCTGGTGTCCCTGCAGCTGCTGCTCCTCCTGGGCCTGCCCCCCGGGCCGCAGGCGCTCCACGTCCCCGCCCGAACCTCGCGCCGCCTCTGAGCAGCCCCGCTCCCCAGGCCTCCCGCATCCCCTCCCCCGTTAGATCCTCACCCCATCTCACCGAGGACTGAACTGGCCCCAGAGGCTCGGCCTGGGCGGGCAGGGTGCCCACAGGAGGGCGCTGCAGGTCTTTGCCTCCATCCCGGGCTCAGCCCAGGCACATCTGCTGCGAACTGTCGGTGTCTCCGGACCCCATTCCCGCTGGACTTACTCGCTCCCCTCCCCCCCCCCCCCCCCCCGGGTTGGGACAGGGAAGCCACAGCACTGGTGCCAAACCAGGCCCCACTGCCCGCCCTGCCCCCCGGCACTGCCCCAGCCCGGCCCTGCTGCCCCGCCTGGGACCACATCTGGTTCCCTGTGCACCCCAGCTTAAGGCCCGGCAGAGAGGTCCTGGGCCAGCCCCCTCCCCCCCCCTCCTGCTCCTCTCAGGCCTACATCCCTCCCCCTCCACCCAACCTGGCAGGTGTCAAGCAGTGAGTAAGACTGGCCCAGACACACCCACACACCCTGAAGCCTGAGGGCAGGACTGGACTCGCAGTAGCCACATCCGGAGGACACGCACACGGAGGACACGCGGGGGGGGGAGGGGGGCTCACGCAGCCTTACACGGGGCAGGGCTGGCAGGAGGGCCGGCATGGACATCCCCTCCCCTGCTCCTTGCCCGCCTCCAGCCGGACCTGCCGCCCAGCGGACCTCCATCTAACACTGAATGTCAAACGTGCCAAATGCCAGGGCAGGGGGCAGAGGCCCCTCTGTCCCACCGAGCCCAGTGTCCCCCACATGCCCTCACCCCCAGGTGCTCATGGAACCATTATCACTAGTGTCAGGCCCCTGCGGGACCACCCGCCACTGCCCGCTCCCCGGCAGAGGAACCCCCCCACAGCGCCCTTCGCCTTAGGGTGACATCATTGCCCCCGGCTGGGTCCCCCCATCCGGCCCTTACACACTCAGGCCTGTGCCCACGTCCTTCCTCCCTCCTTCCTGCTCACACACACTCCCTACCCCCCCCCCCCCCGGAGGCCAAACTGCCCCCCCCCCCCCCCCCCCCCGCTGAACACACACCTGCACACGCATACACACACACACACACACACACACTGTGCACACCGAGAGGCTGGGCCTGAGCACACTTCACACCATTCATTCTGGTCATTTCCTCCGGAGGCAGCCCGGCCTGGGGGCTGGGGACTGGGGGCTGGTGGGGGGCTGAGGGGAGGGGGTGCGGCCACGGGGCTCCGATGGACTGGTTGGGAGGAGGGGGGAGGGGTGCATTGATTAATGGCTCCGTTAATTAATGTCACGTTGCTTGTCGCTTTCTCAGTGTGTGTGTGGTCCGTGCCCGCCGCTGGTGCCAGGGGGTGTCCGTGCCGCACACCCGCCTCGGTGCCAGCCGTGTCCTGCGGGGGCCTGTGTGTAACTGTGGTGTAGTCAGGTTCTCAATGGAGAATGTAAAAGTAAAAAAGAATCAAACATATACAGAAAAAAGTAAATATATATTTTAAGTTTAAAAAACAGAAAAACAGACACAAAACAATTCCCATCAGGTAGTTGTCCAACCCCCCGCTGGGTCTGACCCTTCTCATTGTCCGCCTGACCCGGCCGCCACCTCACCTCGGGCTGGGGGGACCTGGGGGGCCATTTCCTCTTCTCTGCCCATTTTTTCCGGTTTGTTTTGGTTGTTCTATTTTGTACAGACAAGTCGGAAAAACAACAGCGACAAAAAAAAAAAAAAGTCAAGAAACTTTGTAAAATACTGTGTGTGTGATTCCTTGTAAAATATTTTCAAATGGTTTATTACAGAAGATCAGTTATTAAATAATGTTCATATTTTCACTTCAAATGGTTCCCATGCGCTGTGTCTGCCCCGGGGTGAGAATGCGAAGCGTGCAGAACCAGCGGCCTTGGAGGGAAGCCCTGGCTCTCAGGCCGAGGGGGGGGCGGGGGGACGACGACACACACACACACACACACACACACGACACCAGGCATCCTTGAATCCTTTGCCTTGCACAATCCCAAAAGCATCTGAGAAAAGCTATTAAAAAAAAAAAAAAAAAAAAACCCTCCAGGAGCGGTGGGTTAGGGAGCATCCAGCCATCCGTTCAGACCATCCAGCCTAGTGGGCGGGTCCTCACCGAAGTGAAGTGTGAGTCCCGGGCCTGAGTCCCGGAGCCCGTGCTTCAGGGCGCGGTGCTGTGCCCTGAGGAGGGGCCAGTCCGCCAGTGCCCGCTGCTCTTCCCGGCCCAGGGGAAGCCCAAGGACTGGGGTCGCCATGGCCACGGCTACTCACACTGGAACCCAACCCTCCGGTTCACTTTAATCCCAACTCTTCATTAAGTCCGAGTTCTTTAAGGGGAAAGACTTACCACCACCAGAGCAGAGGCTTCCCGGTGCTGCTGAGACTGACACCGCAGGGCACTCACCGGGGCTTCTGGCGACTCCTCACCACAGACTTAGACTGGGCACTAGTTCATCCCCTTCCTGCCGACGGGCAGACTGAGACAGGAGTGTCCTCCTTCCCAGATGAGAAGGACAAGAAATCAGCAAAACTGTCAGGAACTGGTCTGTGTCTGGGGGTCCTTAGGTCCTGGGGGAGGGCAATCCAAGCCTTTCCTCGCTCCTCTGCAGGAGCTGGCACCGAGCAGCACCTACCCAGCAACCTCTGGGGCAGCCCCCTCCCCTGCCATGCAACAGCCCCAGAGGTCCTAGGGTAGGGCTGCCAGATAAAATATAGAACATTTTTTATATTTGGCTCACTGGATTGAATGTCGGCCTGCAGGCTGAAGGAACCCCGGTTCAATTCTAGTCAAGGGCACATGCCCAGGTTTCTGGCTTGATCCCCAGTAGGGGGCGTGCAAGAGGCAGCTGATGGTTCCCTTTCATCATCAATGTTTCTTCTCTCTCTCTCGTTCTCCCTTCCTCTCTGAAATCAATAAAAATATGGATATATATATTAAAAATATATAGAGAACTGCCGAAACCGGTTTGGCTCAGTGGATAGAGTGTCGGTCTGCGGACTGAAAGGTCCCAGGTTCGATTCCGGTCAAGGGCATGTACATTGGTTGTGGGCACATCCCCAGTGGGGGGTGTGCAGGAGGCAGCTGATCGATGTTTCTCTCTCATCGATGTTTCTAACTCTATCCCTCTCCCTTCCTCTCTGTAAAAAATCAATAAAATATATTTTAAAATATATAGAGAGAACATTTCATCAAATTTGAATTTCAGATAAATATTTTTAGTACATCAATATTGCATGGGACATAACTATACTATAAAAATGGAGACATGCTGCCCTGGCTGGTTTGGCTCAGTGGATGGAGGCCTTCAGACTGAAGGGTCCCAAGTTCAATTCCAGTCGGGGACGCATGCCCGGGTTGTGGGCCTGATTCCCAATGGTGGGCATGCAGGAGGCAGCCAATCAATCGATGGTTCTCTTTCATCATTGATGTTTCTCCTCTCTCTCTCTCTCCCTCTTCTTTCTCTCTGAAATCAAAAGTATTTTTAATGGAGACATGCTTATACTAAATAAATAAAAAGTACTCATTGTTTATTTGAGATTCAGATTTGATTGGGCACCTTGTATTTTGATTTGTCAAATCGGGTAACCTTACCCTGGGGTGACATCCGGTGAGAACCCAGAGCCAGACAAAGATAAAGGGTGTCAGTGCCCTTTGTAATCCGGAAGGGTGTGCACCTGGTGGCAGTAGCACTGAGCTCAGTGGCTGCACTTTATAAATGTACTTTGTCAGGTAATTGCACTGAAGTGGGGACCAGGGCCAGCCTGGTCCAGGTCGGTGGGAGACTTCTCTTCCTCTGGGCCAAAAAGCAGAAGTGTGTGGGGCTAGAAACCTGAGCTTGAGTCCAGGCTCCACCTGACTTGTAACAAGGGCGGCCTGGACAGCACAACCAGGGCAAGAATTCCAGCCTGAGTCAGGCCCCACGCTCCCCAAACCTGAGTCAGGCTTATTCCAGCCTGCGGGAGTCCCAGTTCCCTCACACTACTAGTAGGTGCACCAGGGCCACCCAACATTCTCACCCACACACCTACCCACGAAAACACACCCATTCAGATGTACATGCCTAAGAGACATTCTTCCCGGGGGACTCAGCAAGTGTGTGGCATGCGTGTGGTACCCGCCGCTTACCCCGGTTTAGCGATGATTCTTCACCCACTCCCACCTCCCGACTGGTGGAGAACGGTCATGAAAACTACAATTCCCAGGCAACACCTCTTCTCACCACCGACTTGCCCGGGCAGCGCGCACAGCCTCCTGGGACTTGTAGTTCTACCCAGAACCCTGACTTCCGCTCGTCCCCCAGCTTCGGCCGAGGACTCGGTGTCCCGGCAAGGCGCGGACCCGGAAGACCCGTGCCGAGAGGGCGTCCCTCCGCCGCCGCCGCCCGGGGCGCGCAGGCGCAGCGCCCCTGTTTGTCGGCGCCTGAGAAGGGAGGAGGAGGTACGGTCGAAGGCTGGGAGCCAGGCCGAGCCGGAGCTGAACCTGCCTTGACTCGGGCCCGGAACGAGGCTCCAGTCCCGCGCGGACCGGGCCGTACGACCTCGGCGCGGATGGGGCAGGCCCGGCCCTGAGACCAACGGCAGCCCCCTGGGCCGGCTCGGGGCCCACCGGGCGGGCAGGCAGGCGGGCGGGCCGAAGCCGCCCAGGGCTTCCCCTCCGGTCCCGGGCGACGGGCCTAGGCCCCGCCCGGCTCCCAGGCCCGGCCCGGCCCTTTGGATCCGGAGTCCGCCCGGCCAGAAGTGCAGCCTCCGCCGGGGCGGGGCCACAGGCCGGAGACTAGGCCGGGCCCGGGCCTCCCGTCGGGGCCGGAGGGGGACGAGGCCCCGGGGAGGCCCCTAGCCCACCAGACGCGCCGCCCAGGCCGCCGCCCGCCGCCAAGATGCAGCGCGCCCTGCCCGGCGCCCGCCAGCACTTGGGGGCCATCGTGGCCAGCGCCAGCGTGGTGGTGAAGGCCCTGTGCGCCGCCGTGCTGCTGCTCTACCTGCTGTCCTTCGCCGTGGACACGGGCTGCCTGGCGGTCACCCCGGGCTACCTCTTCCCGCCCAACTTCTGGATCTGGACCCTGGCCACCCACGGGCTGATGGAGCAGCACGTGTGGGACGTGGCCATCAGCCTGGCCACGGTGGCGGTGGCCGGGCGTCTGCTGGAGCCCCTGTGGGGGGCCCTGGAGCTGCTCATCTTCTTCGCGGTGGTGAACGTGTCCGTGGGGCTGCTGGGGGCCTTCGCCTACCTCCTCACCTACATGGCCTCCTTCAACCTGGCGTTCCTGTTCACCGTGCGCATCCACGGGGCGCTGGGCTTCCTGGGCGGCGTGCTGGTGGCGCTGAAGCAGACCATGGGCGACTGCGTGGTGCTGCGTGTGCCGCAGGTGCGCCTGAGCGTGCTGCCCACGCTGCTGCTGGCGCTGCTGCTGCTGCTGCGGCTGGCCACGCTGCTGGGCGGCCCCGCGCTGGCCTCCTACGGCTTCGGGCTGCTCTCCGGCTGGGTGTACCTGCGCTTCTACCAGCGCCACAGCCGCGGCCGCGGGGACATGGCCGACCACTTCGCGTTCGCCACCTTCTTCCCCGAGATCCTGCAGCCCGTGGTGGGGCTGCTGGCGAACCTGGTGCACGGCCTCCTGGTGAAGGTGAAGGTCTGCCAGAAGACAGTGAAGCGCTACGACGTGGGGGCCCCGTCCTCCATCACCATCAGCCTCCCGGGCACGGACCCCCAGGACGCGGAGCGGAGGAGGTACCGTGGGGCCGTCTGGAACCTTGTGGAGCTGGGGGAGCGCGTGTCCAGTCACATCCCTCCGGCCAGGGGGCCAGGGGGCCAGGGGCCAGGGGCCAGGTGTCGGGCGGGTGCAGAAAGAGGTCGAATCCGGGTTGGTGGCCTTGAGGACCTGGGCGCGCTGGTGTCTGGGCTCCCGCAGGCGCTTTCCAACGCCAGGGGAGGGCGCTCTTCTCCCCGCCGAGGCTGCCTACTGCATCTCGGGAAACATCCAGTGTCCTCGGTGCTGGGTGGGGGCCAGTGGAGGGCCAGGGACACCTCACTCTGGCCCTCATCTCAGAATCTGGGAGCCCTAGACCCGGGTCAGAAAGAGCCTCCGGTCGGGCAGTGAGGGGGACGGACACGGGGACCTTCGGAGGCACTGTGGCCACCGTTTCAGGGCTGGCCGGGGCCTGATCCTGGGGGCCCTGAGATGCTGCCCCTCTGCCGCCTGTTGCAGGGGAGCTGGAGGTGTTGCCAGCCTTCCCCGCCTCCTGCAGGGAGGCCTGTTACCAAACCAGGGCCTGGCACGTGACCGGACCTGCAGCCTGCCTTCTCACTGCCTGTAAACCAAGCCATGGCACCGTCAGGCCCAGGCCGGTTCCGGAGCGCCTTGGCCGGCGGGACAGGTCTGGAACCGGCTTTCTCCGCCCAGTCTGTGGCCTCAGCAGAGCAGTCCCAGCTCCGTCGCCAGCATTATTTTTTTTAAAAATATATTTTATTGATTTTTCACAGAGAGGAAGAGAGAGGGATAGAGAGTTAGAATCATCGATCAGCTGCCTCTTGCACACCCCCCACTGGGGATGTGCCCGCAACCAAGGAATCGAACCCGGGACCTTTCAGTCTGCAGACCGATGCTCTATCCACTGAGCCAAACCGGTCCCGGCCGTCGCCAGCATTATTGTTGGGTGTTTTTTTAAAATATATATATATATTCTTATTGATTTTTTTTTTTTTTACAGAGAGGAAGGGAGAGAGATAGAGAGCTAGAAACGTCGATGAGCGAGAAACATAGACAGCTGCCTCTTGCACACCTCCTACCGGGGATGTACCCGCAAGCAAGGTACATGCCTTTGACCGGAATCGGACCCGGGACCTTTCAGTCCGCAGGCCGACGCTCTACCACTGAGCCAAACCGGTTTCGGCTGTTGGGTGTTTTTGAGGAGTTGCTGGAGCAGTGCAGTCTGAGCAGGCTCCGTGCCTGCCTCCTGCATTGGTCACAGGCTCTGCTGCTGCTGCTCACCTGCGGAGCGGCTTCCGGCCGCTGTGCACTCACTCCCCGCCGGGCTGCGGGGCTGAGTATGGGATCGTCCCTTTGGAAGTTCCCAGCCGGCATGCCACACGGCACCGTGGTCCCCTGGCCGTGCTGCCGGCAGAATTGTGGGCCCTCCCGGCAGGCGTGTCTCTGGCTGAGCGTCCTGAAGACCCAGGTCTGCCTTCACCTTCCCCAGAGGAGGGGCTGCAGCCGGAAGGCCGGGCCTGGTGAGAACTGGCTGCCCTCAGAGCCAGCTCCTCAGGGGGGCCAGGCCCCGGGGCGGTCCCTGTGCCAGTGAGAGGTCCTGGCTGGGTTGGTGGGGTTGGCTGGACATGGGAATCACCTCTGCTCAGGCCCAGGAAAATGGGCGGTGGGGGCAGGTGGGGCAGGGGCGGCAGGAGGCCGGGTCTCGGACAGCCTGTGCTTGGGAGCTTGCTTGGGTGGGGTTTCTCCTCCATCCACTCTGACACCGGCTGCATGCCACTCCAGAGGCAAAGGGCCGTGGTTTCCTGCCTTCGATCCTCGTGAGGAAGTGACTGGGAAGTCACCACCTCAGTCCCCTGGCCTCGCACAGAACTGAGTCAGCCTCCGGGATGGGGCCTGGCCGGAGGACTGCCCTGTCTGTGCCGGCTTGCCCTGTGCCAGTCGAGGGCAGAGTGGAGGTGAGCGGCTTTTTGTGGCCGTGTCCTCGCTGCCTCTCTTCATGCGCCCTGCCTGGTGGAGATTGGGGTGCTCTGCTGGAACTGGGGAGGCTGTGCCGACTGTCCCCACGCTGGTGGCAGAGAGGCTGCGCAGTGGCCCAGAGGTCGCCTGGAGCATTCCGCCTCCTGTGGGCAGGCCCAGGTGCCCGAATGACCTTCTAGTGCCTCTCCGCCTGAGCGGGTCTCTGGGAACCTGCCGCTGGGACCGGTGGGCTCTGGCCTGTGCCCTCCCTGCGGGGCCGTCCCTCCTTCCTCTCGGGTCCCGGCTGTTCCCACTCCAGCACAGGTCCTGGGCTCCGGGCTCCGGGCCTGCTTCTGAGAAGATAGGAGAACCCTTAGGAGGGTGGACTGGCCCAGGCCGGCCCGCTTTCCAGAGCAGATGCTGGAGTCCCAGCCTTCCCAAAGACCCTTGCCGCGAGGCTCAAACACCCCTAAAAGGAGCGGGGGTTCTATCCTCTCCGTGGTGCCAGTGCCCCGGCAGACACGGGCATGTCCAGGAACTTGCCCTCCTCCCCGTCTACGGGGGCACCGGCTCTGCCGCCCTTCGACACCGCCTCAGAGCCACCCGGGCAGCCTGGGGGGCGGGCCGGCAGCCCCCAGTCAGCCTTCTCAGGCCGAGGCGCCTCAGCCTCAGAGCCTCGCTCTGGTGGTCAAGTGGGCCCGATCCAGGCCCTGGGGAGCGTGGGTTCCGCGTGGGGAGGGGGCACCGAAGATGCTGCTGAGAGAGGAGTCGGGTGGCTGGGGGTCAGCTTGCTGGGGACAAGGAGGCACGAGCCAAGTCCAACCCAGAGTGACCGCCCCTTTCCTCTGACCCAGGCAACTGGCCCTGAAGGCCCTCAATGAGCGACTGAAGAGAGTGGAGGACCAGCCCGTCTGGCCGAGCATGGACGATGACGAAGAGGAGGCCGGGGCCAAGGTGGACAGCCCTCTGCTCTCAGACAAGGTCCCCACGGTCCCAGGGAAAGGGGCTGCCCCCGAGTCCAGCCTGATCACCTTCGAGGCGGCCCCCCCGAAGCTGTAGCTCCAGACCTTGGGTGTGACCTGCTGTCCCACCTGACGCCGCCTCAGCGCGGAGGCGCGGGAAGATGTCTGCCGGGGTCTCCGCGGCCTCCGCGCTCTCGCCAACACTACCCAGGACTCTTGCTGCCTGGTTACAGCTCCGACAACCACTATGTCAGGACCAGCGGCCGAGGCTGAGGTAAGGCTGCACCTCGGCTGGCCGCCCCACGCAAGTGGCAGCGGGGACACCGGTGCCGCAGCCTCCGGCCACCCCTCACACCTGCTCCGGGGGCCGAGGGCCCTGAGCCAAGGCAAGGATTTGCCAAACGCCCTGGGGGTCCAGCCAGTGTGGGAGCCAGCACAGGGCTGCACCTGCCCCCGAGGACTATATTCCCCCGAGACCCATTCCCTCCGGCGGCCGCCGCCCCAGCCCGGAGCGGCCGGCTCCCAGGGTTTTCTACGACCACTGAGCGGGCGGCGGGCCCAGCGCGCAGTGTCAATAAAGAGTTCTTTGCGGTATGGCTCCTGGGCTGTCCGACACCTTGTGCAGCCGCTCATCCCGCTCAGCCCCAACGTTAGGGCTTATTCCAGGCCCAAGGGCTCAGTCCATGGCGACTCCAGCTGGACAAGAGGCCCTTCCCCACCGCATGCCCACTGTCCCCTCACCCCTACTCACTTCCTCCCTCCCTCCTGTCCCCGTGAGGGAGGCCTGCCCAGCGATCTGAGGACAGGGCTTCTCCCTCAGGAATTCTTACCCAAGGCCCATCTCCAAGACCGGTGCTCAGTGCCTGACACCATGAGCTGGCCAGCCCCAGCTCCCGTCCTGTCACTGCCCAGACCTAACAGCGCGGGGCGGCCGGGAGACTGAGAGGACACGGGCACACTCCCAGCCCCAGCCCCAGCCCCAGCCCCAGGGCAGTCTAGGGCTTTGGGTAACTGGCCGCTCGGCAGCCAGATCCCGGGCTTGGGTGCCAGCTGCACAGGTAGCAGCAGGAACAGGATCCCTGGTGCCCAGCGCCCCTCTGATCCTGATGGTGTTAGTGAGAACTGTCCCCACTCTGTTCTCCCCATCCAGGCTTTCCAGTTTTTTTCAATTTTTATTTTAATCTTTTGTCCTGTAATTTCTGGACATACCGATATAAGTATGAGCTGAGTTGCTGGGGAGACAATCTTGCAACCCCAGATTCATCCAGACACACGCTCCATGGGCTCCTCTGAGACGGCAGAGAGAGGGCGGAGGAGGCCCTGGGGTGAGGAGCAAGCACAAATGCCTCACTCAGGCCTCCTACCCTGAGTGCCCCCGTGACCTCGTCAGTCCAGAGAGTCCAGGATGTCCCAGCGCCAGCTCCCACACGAGGGGCAAGTCCAGGCTTCCAGGCTGCGCAGAGCTTACGGCTGAATCCGTTTGCGGTACAGGTAGGCATTGCTCACCTGGTTCATGATGACCAAGCTGGTGATGACAGGGCACAGCACAGCCAGGTACCAGGCTCCACCGGTGACTGTAGCCGTGAACCAGAGTGAGCACATGCCCAGCATGAGGCTGGTGCTGCCCAGAAGGTAGCCCACTAGCCCGGAAGTGGCGTGGTACAGCTTGAGCTTGGACAGGGGCCATCGGGGCAGCAGTTTGGGGTAGAGGAGCCCCACCCCGCCTGAGCACTGCAGCGTGGCCCACAGCACAGCCAGCAGCCCCGCCCGCCCGTGCCAGGTGGCCAGGTGGGCCTTGCCAAGCTGCTCCTTGTGGAGGATGACCAGGCCCAAGCCCAGCAGTGCGCACAGCAGGGCCAGCAGCTGGAGTGCCCAGTGGCAGCGGGCACGGCCTTTCCGGGAGAGGGAGCGCAGCAGCGAGCTCTCAGGGGAGAACACCAGCAGGGCCTCAGTCATCAGGAAGGAGAACTGGGGAGACCGCATGGGAAACGGAGTGAGGGTGCTGCCCAGCGGAAGGGAAGAAAGATGGCAGTGACCTAAGCTGCCAGCCTGGGCAGAGTCCCCGCATTCTCTCCCCGCCGACAGGAAAGGAAGGGGCAGGATTGGAGAAGAGGTGCCCTCCATAGTCCTCTCCGTGCTGTTCTGGAATGGCTTCTCTTACCCAGCAGACACAAGGTCTGCGCTGTGGCCCCTATAAATGATTCACAGGCCCTGTTTCCCTGACACAGGACTGGATACAGTTTCTTGGCAGAGCTGGCCAAGCAGGTGCAGTGTGTCAGGGAAAACGGGGTGCATCGCTGTGAGTTAAGGCCAAGGGGCAGAAGTAGCCCCAAGTACATTTTCTAAGCTTCCTGTCGAGGGGGGTGCAGCTCATTTTGTGCTTAGCCAAGCCCTGCCCACCTGCCCTGGGTCCTCAGTACTCTGGGTCAAGTCTGGGGTCTATGTGGCACGGGCAGACTCCCACATTCCAATGCTATCCCTCCCGGTAGTGAGTGACCATAAGGAGGCCACCACCAGCCCCATATGCTCCCTTCCACCCTACGAGCTGGCCAGGTCACTACTTACAGCCAGAGACATGAGCACGGGGTGCCAGGAGAACAGACCTGGAACAGAAGGAGGCCGTCCGTGTAAGGCGGGGGAGGCAATGGCAGTCCCTCACCCAAGGGAGTGCTGCCAAAATGGGAGCCCCCTCGCTGCCACAAGCTGCCCCATTCCTAGCCTCCTGGTCCCTCCGGATCAGAGGCCGTGCTTTGCCACTCCTCTGGCAGTCCTCCCTCCTGCCCACTGCACTTTGCCAGAGACAGCCAAGTGCAGCACAAGGCAAGGAAAGAGAGCCAGGTACTTGGGGGCATCTACTCCACCCACTTATCCCTCCAGCATCGTATGTCCCTCAGCCACCCGTGCCTCTCCCAGGAGCCGGCCCGAGATTTCCTTCTGCCCCTGCTCCCCAGGACAAGGGGCCCTTTCCCCCCGGAAGTCAATTATAAATTACACTTACTGGAGCCAGGCCTGGCGAGCACAGCCACAAAGATGGTGAAGCCCAGGGCCACCAGGTGGGCCGCAGCCCCAGAGGCAGTGCGGAGAGCTCGGTAGATGTGCGACTCCGTCTCCACAGAAAGAGCCATGGTCATCCAGGCCGGCGGCTGGAGCCTGGAAGCACAGGAGCGTAAGCGAGGGCCGCGGGTGGGCCACTGCCCTCCCTGGAGCACGTGCTGCAGGGCAGGGATCCGCGCTCCCCCCGGAAGTGGAGGCAGGAAGACAGGCTCCAGCAATGGTCAAGGACCGGCGGCCTGTCGGCATGTACCTGCATCTGAACTGGCACAGATCCCCGGCCCACCTTCCAGGTAGGATGCTCAAAGCCGTGTGATAGACTACAAACCCCAGAGTGCGCCACGCCGTCACCGGCGGGAGCGCCAGCTAAGAGGGCGCGAAGCACCACGGGAACTGTAGTTCCCAGCTGCGACCAAATGGCAGCCTGAATCCCTTCCCGCGCCGCTTCCTCATGTGCCGCAAGCATGCTGCCCCTCCACGCCAGGAATTCGCCTGCCTCACCCGCAGCGCCGATCGGACGTGGTGGTTTTCTCCTGAGAAAGCGGAAAACTCTGGATCCTGCCGCGTGAGCCGCCGCCCCGTAGCGGAGCCTCTTCACTTCCGGGTGTGACGACTACCCACCCACCGGCACTTCCTGGACCAACCTCCTCCGTAGCCACGCCTCTGAGCTTCTCTGCGCACGCGCTGTTGAGCAGCTGTCCTGAAGGGTGCGAGTGCGCAGGCGTGCTTGGCCCGGCCGCCAAGGCGTCGGAGCTGGTGTTCCCGAGGACTCGGTCCCGTTAGCGCCATGGGCAGCAGCTGCCGCATCGAATGCATATTTTTCAGCGAGTTCCATCCCACTCTGGGACCCAAGATCACCTATCAGGTGCCGTCGGGCTCGCGGGCTTGGTGGGGAGATAGGGACCCTCTCCGGAGCTCAGTCCCTGTCTGGAAGCGGCGGGTGCCTGTCACCGCGCTGCACGCTGCCCGCTACTCCTTCATTCGCCGGGAATCGGGAACCCAGAGGATGCTCAGACCCAGGACCCAGGCTCCCGGCGTGAGGGAGCAGACAGACCACATAGGCAGTGATTGTGAGAGATCAGGCTGTGGGGACCAGGAGGGATGCCAGGCCCCACGAGGTGGGGGTGGGTGGTGCATTGGTTTCCCTGGCTGCAGGGGGATGCAGGTGAGTGAGGAGAGCGGGCCAGGCAGAGGGAACAGCATGTGCACAAGCCAGGAGGCCAGTGAACATGGCGTGCGCTTGTAAACAAGAGTAGTAGGCCTGGCGGGAGGGAGAGAGGAGAAACGCTGAAGAGGGCTTAGGTCCTGGGGGATTGCCCGTTTACTCTGCCTAGTACCAGGTCCACTATTGAGTTCTTGTCCGCATCCCTCCCCAGGTTCCTGAGGACTTCATCTCCCGGGAGCTGTTTGACACGGTCCAGGTGTACATCATCACCAAGCCCGAGCTGCAGAACAAGCTCATCACCGTGTGAGGCCCTTGCCCGGGGGCCCCGGAGGAGGGGACAGGCTTGGGAGTGGGAGGAGCCTGACGCTGGCCCCGCCCCCCTCTCCAGCACAGCCATGGAGAAGAAACTGATCGGCTGCCCTGTGTGCATCGAGCACAAGAAGTACAGCCGCAACGCCCTGCTCTTCAACCTGGGCTTCGTGTGTGACGCCCAGGCCAAGACCTGCGCCCTGGAGCCCATCGTCAAGAAGCTGGCCGGCTACCTGACCACACTGGAGGTCTGCAGCGCGGCGGGCTTGGGTGGGCGGGCAAGCAGAGTCGGGGAAGGTATTCACGCGTCTCCAAAGCCCTCCCGACCTAGGACCCGGCCAGGGCAGGCTGCCTGGGCGGTGCCCACCATGCTGTCCGTGCTCCATCCAGCTGGAGAGCAGCTTCGTGTCGTCGGAGGAGAGCAAGCAGAAGCTGGTGCCCATCATGACGATCTTGCTGGAGGAGCTCAACGCCTCAGGCCGGTGTACTCTGCCCATCGGTATGCCCGCCTCTGCAAGGGCAGCGATGGGGAGGAGGGATGGGAAGGTGACGGGAGGGCGAGCCCAGCCAAGGACAAGACTCATGGGCGAATTTGTGGCCAGGAAATAGCCAGGAGCTGAGCTGCTGATGTGCAGGGTCCAGGGCATGGCAGGGCGGGCTGGGGCTGGGGCGACCAGCAGCGCACTCCAGCTGTCCCGGGGGCCGGCTCCCTCCCCTCTCTGGACCTCGGTCCCCGGCTTTATAAAAGGGGAAGATTCTGCCCTGCGGGTGCGGGACCTGCTGGCACCACAGCCCTGCTGCCGTGCCGCACCTGTGATGAGGCCAGGGTGCAGAGGAAGGGGCTATTTCTACGCTCAGCGCCCAGAGCAGTGGGCACTGGGAATGGTTTGTAGCCTGACATGCCGGCGGGAAAAAAACTTAAAAAAGGGGGAATGGGGAGGAGACTGGCCCCACCGGAGCCCCTGCCTGCCTGAGGCTGCTGGTCGGACTGAGGGTCACGGAGGGCCCCTCGGCAGAGCGGGCGCTGAGAACAAGGGTGGGACCCCTGCAGATGAGTCCAACACCATCCACCTGAAGGTGATTGAGCAGCGGCCGGACCCTCCCGTGGTGCAGGAGTACGACGTGCCCGTCTTCACCCAGGACAAGGAGGACTTCAACGCCCAGTGGGACCTCACCACGCAGCAGGTGCGCCGGCCTCCCTGGGGTCCTCAGCCCGGTGGCCTCATCCTTGGCCTCACCCCGCCCCCTGCTGACTGCCCGCCCCGCCCAGATCCTGCCCTACATCGATGGCTTCCGCCACGTCCAGAAGATCTCGGCCGAGGCAGACGTGGAGCTCAACCTGGTGCGCATTGCCGTCCAGAACCTGCTGTGAGTGAGGGGTCACACAGGTCACACTGAGGGCGCTGCCCGCTGGGCTGGGCCTGGGCCTGGGCCTGGGCCTGGGGCTGGGGCTGGGCCTGGGCCTGGGCCTGAGCCTGGGCCTGGGGCTGGGCCTGGGCCTGGGGCTGGGCCTGGGGCTGGGCTGGAGTTGGGGCTGGGGCTGGGCCTGGCCCAGGGGCTGGGGCTGGGGCTGGGGCCTGGCCCTGGGGCTGGGGCGTGGCCCTCATAGCTGAGCACAGCTCTTCTCCCAGGTACTATGGCGTCGTGACCCTGGCGTCCATCCTCCAGGTAGGGGAGTCTGGGTCTGGTTGTGCGGAGAGGGGATCGTGTGGCTGGGCCACACAGCATCTGTCGGACTTCCAAGCCCCTCGCTCAGGCTCCCGTCCCTCCTGCCACCTCCCCTCCAGTACTCCAACGTGTACTGCCCCACGCCCAAGGTGCAGGACCTGGTGGATGACAAGTCCCTGCAAGAGGAGTGTCTGTCCTACGTGACCAAGCAAGGTAATTGTTGTGGGGTCGAAATCTGGGTTCAAAATAAGACCACGGGAGGCTGGTGATTAATTAAAAAAAGCAGGCAAGGGTTTATTGAAAAACTGGCCAGGACGGCTGCTGGAGCAGCACAGGCAGGTGGGCCCCACACGACTGACTGAGGCACCGATCCAGGTGTCGGTAATCCCTTTTAAAGCTTCAAACCACAGGAGTTTCCCTTTGCTCTAAATTCTAAAGGCTGGGAACATTGGAATGTGGCCCTATCTTGCCCATAAAACAAAAGCAGAACTCAGAGGTTAATCTCGGAAGGTTATCTATAGTTTCTACCCCTGAAGCTACGGAGTCAGTGGGAGTCAATCTCCTGTAACTACCCTATTGTTTAAGCAAGTAATCGAAAAGTCAGATAGCAAGGTTAAAATTCAAACAGCAGTTTTTACCCAAGTATGATTGCTACCATATTTCAGTAATGGTGGGCTCTGGGAGGCCATCTGGGGGAGGGGGCGGCAGGGCCCCTGGAGAGCTGAGCCTGCGCCCCACAGGGCACAAGAGGGCCAGCCTCCGGGATGTGTTCCAGCTGTACTGCAGCCTGAGCCCCGGCACGACCGTGAGGGACCTCATTGGCCGCCACCCCCAGCAGCTGCAGCGCGTGGATGAACGGTCAGGAGGGGATCCTTGGGGGGTGGGGGGTCGGCCTGAAGGCAGACACCCCCTCTCTGTCTCTGGGTTAGAGAGGAAGCAAGAGACTCCCAGTGAGCAGAGTCATGAGGCACTGCTAGTCCAGGCAGGCTTCCTGGAGGCGAGGGCTTCACGGAGACGGTGTGGGAGGGGAAGTGAGGAAAAGGCTGGCCTGGCGGGGGAAGGCCCGGCCAGGCGTCACCCCTCTCTCTCGACCCGCACCCCAGGAGGCTGGTCCAGTTCGGGCTGATGAAGAACCTCATCCGGAGGCTGCAGAAGTACCCCGTGCGGGTGTCCCGGGAGGAGCGCAGCCACCCCGCCCGCCTCTACACCGGCTGCCACAGCTACGACGAGATCTGCTGCAAGACAGGTGGAGGCAGGCAGGGTGCGGGGTGTGTGTGTGTGTATGTGTGTGTGTGTGTGAGATCAGGCAGGAAGCCAAGCCCGCAGGCTGACCTCCCCACCGCCACCCAGGCATGAGCTACCAGGAGCTGGATGAACGGCTGGAAAATGACCCCAACATCATCATCTGCTGGAAGTGAGGCTGGAGGGGCCCGGACACAGCGGCAGCTACTCTCTGGCCAAGCCCTGCCTGGTGCCCGCAGGCTAGACCCACAGCCTAGTCTCTCCTGCCTCAATGTTGACCCTCCATGTCTGTAAATAAAATCCATTTCACCCTACCTCCACTGGATACCACCCCTGAGCCGGCCCCCAGGGGACCCAGTGACAGAAAGAGCCATGGTCCTGGCGCCTGGAGCGCCACCTGGTGGGCAGAGCCGACAATGGCCAAGTAAACGTGTCCTCTAAAAACTAAAACAAGCAGGAAGTTGTGATAAAGAGAGTGAGTCGAGCGGGGCTAGCAGGGCTCAGTGGACGGAGCATCAGCCTGTGGACTGAGGGGTCCCGGGTTCCATTCGGGGCAAGGGCACATGCCCATTTCAGGCTCGATCCCCCGTGCAGGAGGCAGCGATCCATGCTTCTCTCTCATTATTGATGTTTCTGTCTCTCCTTCCTCTCTGAAGTCAATTTAAAAAAGAAAAGGGAAAAAAAAGAGTGAGTTGGGATGAGCCGGGGCTGCTCTGGATTGTTTGGGTCAGGAAGGCCCGATGGCTAGCAGCCCTCGAGCAGGAAGAGTGGTCCAGGCAGAGGGCCAGCTGCGGAAACCCTGAGGCCAGGACCACCTGGGGTGCATGGGGAGCCACGGAGCCGGAACCTGGGAGGCAGGGGGACGGGACGAGAAACAGTCCCGGGAAAGGAGAGGGGGCAAAGCCTGCTGCCGCCGGCCCGGCGAGCTGCTGCCGACACGGCAGCCTGAGAGCCAGCGCGGCCCTGGAGCGCCCTCCAGTGGCGGCCGCGTGCACCTCGCAGAGCCCGGCGGACAGGCGCAGCGGGGACCCCGCGGGGCGATGGCAGCCTGGGGGGGGGGGGCCGCACAGAAGGTCAGGGGTCCAGCCCAGAGGAGGGGGGGGCAGCCCACCCGGCATCGGGGCGCGGAGGGCCTGGCCGCGGGGAGACGCTCCGGGAGCCGCCTGGGGCTCTGCCCGCCCCCCCCCCCCCGCAGGGGCGGCGGACGGGGGTGGGGACCTGGCCCTGCCCCGGAGGCGGGGCCCAGGCCACACTGCGCAGACTCAGACTCCAGCTAGCCGTTTCCATGGCGACGAGGCCCGCGCACCCCAACTGCTCCACAACCGTCCGGTCCCAGACTTCGGCCCGGCGCTGCCCGGGGTCCGCGGAGCCCCGCCTGGCGCGGCCCCGACATGGGCGACCTGGAGCTGCTGCTGCCGGGGGAGGCCGACGCGCTGGTGCGGGGGCTCCGCAGCTTCCCGCTGATGGAGACGGGCTCCGCAGGGTGAGGCCGCCGCCGGCAGCCGAGTCTGGGCTCAGCCCCCGCGCGGAGGGCGCCCCACATGGGAGGGAGGGGTTGCCAGGGTGGAGGGGCGCCCGGGGGTACAGGTCCTGAGCCCTCCCTGGCCCCTCGGTCAGGTGAGCTTCGGTGGGCTCAGCCCCCACCCCACTCCCACTGCGCACACGTGCACCCAGACACACCACACACACACCCTCTGGCAGGTGGAACCAGCAGCATGAAAACCTGGAGAAGCTGAACATGCAGGCCATCCTGGATGCCACGGCCAGCGAGGGCGAGCCCATCCAGCAGCTGCTGGTCACCCACGGGAAGGTATGCTGGGGGCAGGCGGGGCCTCTGCCTCCCCGGCCCCACCCACCACCTGCCCCTCAGGAGCGCGCTGGCGTCTGTTCCTCCCGCTACTGGCGTCTGTTCCTCCCGCCACTGGTACCCCTGCCCTCCCCAGAGGAGGAGGGGGAGGGTATCACTCATCTGACTGGCACCCCTGCTGGGCACAGCCCTGGCAGGCGGGGCGGGTGCAGTGTGGTTGACTAGGGACAGAGCCCTGGGGCCTAGGACAGCCTGGCCTGCAGGGGGAGGCCCGTGCTCTAAGGGTTCCTGAGCAGGTTCCAGGCCGGAGGGCGTCCCTGCCCACGTGGGGGCGGACTTTGGCGTGGCAGGAGGCAGCCTGCCCGCTTGGGAGAGGATTGGCGTGGTGGGGACAGGAACCAGGAGCATGGCTCCATAGATGACCGGAGGTGTCACTGACAAAGGGTTCCTCCATGCCGAGACCGGTGTGGCTCAGTGGATAGAACGTCAGCCTGCGGTCTGAAAGGTCCCGGGTTCGATTCCGGTCAAGGGCATGTATCTTGGTTATGGGCACATCCCCGGTGCGGGGTGTGCAGGAGGCAGCTGATCGATTTTTCTCTCTCATTGATGTTTCTGGCTCTCTATCCCTCTCTCTTCCTCTCTGTAAAATATCAATAAAATATATATTTTTTAAAGGGGGGGGGTTCCTGCACAAGGAAAGGTAGTGCCCCTAGTGCGAGGGGGCAGGAACGGGCACTCCGAAGGCCCTGGCTGAGGGCGAGGCCGAGGCGCACCAGAGGACACGCCCAGAGGGGCGGCCTGGGAGACCCCTGGATGTGGAGGGGAACAGAGGTACCTGTACAGGGAACGAGGCGAGGACCCGCCCAGGAAGCAGGGGGATGTCCCCACAGAGGGCGAGGGCAGCTGGAGGTGAAGGTCACGGTGCAGGAGGGGGGTCAGGAAGGTCCTCGCGGGGCACAGGAGGGTCTGGGAGAGTCTGAGGAGAGCTGGGTAGGCTGAGCCAGGGGTGGGAGGGTTGCTAGGCCATGGTAGGCCCACCCCAGCCCTGTCCGTGCCCCTCCCCCCAAGGTCCCCACGCTGGTGCGGGAGCTGATCGCCGTGGAGATGTGGAAGCAGAAGGTGTTCCCTGTGCTGTGCAAACTGGAGGACTTCAAGCCCCAGAACACCTTCCCCATCTACATGGTGGTGAGCTGCCCCCCCCCCCGTTTACCCCTCCCCCCCCCTCAGCGGGCAGCCCCTCCCCTTGGCCGGCAGCCCGCTCCCCTCCTGTTTATCTGCAGCTGCACCACGAGGCTTCCGTCATCAACCTCCTGGAGACCGTGTTCTTCCACAAGGTGAGGCCCGGCCGCCCGCTGGCTCCTGCCCGGCCAGGGGACACACACACACACACACACACACACACACACACACACACACACACAGGACTGTGTGTGGGAGGAGCATCAGAGAGAACCCCCCCCCCCGCCCCAGGAGGTGTGTGAGTCCGCCCAGGACACCATCATGGACCTGGTGGACTACTGCCACCGCAAGCTGACCCTGCTGGCGGCCCGGAGCGGCCGCGGGGAGCCCCCGGAGGAGGAGGAGGCGGAGGACGTCCCTCCCATGAAGGTGGGCTGAGGCTCCCGGGCTGGAGGGGCTGCACCCCGGCTCCCCAGGCCTAAGCGCCCGCGCTCCCCAGGAGCTGCAGACGCAGGCCGAGCTGATGGAGTTTGAGATCGCGCTGAAGGCGCTCTCCGTGCTCCGCTACATCACGGACTGCGTGGACAGGTGGGCGGCCCGGCGGCCTCGGCCCCGGTGGAGGGCGGGAGCCTGGGCCTGTCCCCTCCAGTCATCTCCCCCCACCCCCACCCAGCCTGTCCCTGAGCACCCTGAGCCGCATGCTGAGCACCCACAACCTGCCCTGCCTCCTGGTGGAGCTGCTGGAGCACAGTCCCTGGACCCGGAGGGACGGAGGTAGGGTCCCCCCCGACCTGCCGGAGGCCCGGGGCGTCCGGGGTGCCCTCCAGGATTGAGGGGTGGCAGCTTGCACACAGGTGGGCGAACTGTGCCCCCGCCCCCCAGAGGGCGACGGGACGGCTGAGCTGGAAGTGGGCCTTGACCCAGGCTCCGCAGCAGGCAGGGCCCACGTGTCCACCGCCGAGGACCCGGTCCAGCTGGAGCGGTCAGCCCCCCAGCCCCTGCAGCTGCTCCTTCAGAGCGCGCACCGCTGCGCCCAGAACGCTGCTCTCTCGCAGGCAAGCTGCAGCAGTTTGAGGGCGGCCGGTGGCAGGCAGTGGCCGCCTCCGAGCAGCAGAAGATGAGCAAGTTGGACGGGCAGGTGTGGATCGCCCTGTACAACCTGCTGCTGAGCCCCGAGGCCCGGGCCCGCTACTGCCTCACGAGGTTCGCCAAAGGACAGCTGCTCAAGGTGGGGAACCTCCCAGCCGCCCACAGCCCCAGCACCGAGCCTAACCCTCCCAGCCCCCCCACAGCCCCAGCACCCAGCCTAACCCTCCCAGCCCCCCCCAACCCCAGCACCGAGCCTAACCCTCCCAGCCTCCCCCAGCCCCAGCACCGAGCCTAACCCTCCCAGCCTCCCCCAGCCCCAGCACCCAGCCTAACCCTCCCAGCCCCCCACAGCCCCAGCACCCAGCCTAACCCTCCCAGCCCCCCACAGCCCCAGCACCCAGCCTAACCCTCCCAGCCCCCCACAGCCCCAGCACCGAGCCTAACCCTCCCAGCCCCCCCACCCACAGCCCCAGCACCCAGCCTAACCCTCCCAGCCCCCCCACCCACAGCCCCAGCACCGAGCCTAACCCTCCCAGCCCCCCACAGCCCCAGCACCCAGCCTAACCCTCCCAGCCCCCCCACCCACAGCCCCAGCACCCAGCCTAACCCTCCCAGCCCCCCCACCCACAGCACCGAGCCTAACCCTCCCAGCCCCCACAGCCCCAGCACCGAGCCTAACCCTCCCAGCCTCCCCCCAGCCCCAGCACCCAGCCTAACCCTCCCAGCCCCCCCAGCCCCAGCACCCAGCCTGCCCCACCCCTGCTGTCAGGCTTTGCCCACCCACCTCAGCCCTAGTCCTGTTCCCAGACCTGGGGCCTCGGGTGACAGCAGTTAGTGGGACGAGGCCCAAAGGCGCCCTCGCCCAGCCCAGGCCGTCCCTGTTCCTGGACCCGCCGCTCAGCCCCGTCCCTCCCCTTCCCCCGCAGCTTCGGGCCTTCCTCACAGACATTCTGATCGACCAGCTGCCCCACCTGGCGGACCTGCAGGGGTTCCTGGCCCACCTGGCCCTGGCCGAGCCTCAGCCCCCTAAGAAGGACCTGGTGTTTGAGCAGGTAGGCGCGGGGAGCTGGTGTTCAGGAGCACCGCCCGCTTCGCCTGCTCCTCCCGGCCACGCTCCGCTGCTCCCCCCAGATCCCCGAAATCTGGGAGCGGCTGGAGCGCGAGAACAAAGGCAAGTGGAAGGCCATGGCCAAGCACCAGCTGGAGCACATGTTCAGCCCCTCGGAGCACGACCTCCGGCAGCAGGCGCAGAGGTGAGGCTGTGGCGGGCAAGTGGGAGGGGCGCTCCCGGGGCCTCCCCCTCCCCCAGGCCAGCCAGGCCTCCTGCCCCCCTCCCAGGTGGGCTGAGACCTACAGGCTGGACGTGCTGGAGGCCATGGCTCCGGAGCGGCCGCGCTGTGCCTACTGCGGCGCCGAGGCCTCCAAACGCTGCTCGCGATGCCAGAACGAGTGGTACTGCTGCAGGTGAGGGCGTCCTGCGCCCGGCCCCTAAGCCCACGCCCGGCCCACACTCTGCCTCCTCACCGCCCCTTGCCCGCAGGGAGTGCCAGGTCAAGCACTGGGAGACGCACCGGAAGGCTTGCGTCCAGGTGGCCCCGGGTGGCAGAGTGAAGTGACCGCAGCTGCTGACGCCCCGGTGCCAGGCCCCCGCCGGAGGGGCGCCCGAGCCCCGGGACTGCAGCCTGGGCTCTGCAAGCGCCGGCCTCGGGTGGGAGCAGGCAGCCCGCTGGCCCGGCCTGCAGCCCAGCGCTCCCCCGCTTCCGGCCGCACCCAGGGGCAGGCTCCGGGCGCTGGGGCAGGAGGCGGCCGGCGGCGAGGGCGAGGGCCGGATGTGGGGACCCTCTTCCTCTCGCTCAGTAAAGCTGCTCCCCAGAAACCCGCGGCTCCGTGTGGCCTTGGCACTCCGCGTCTTGGGGGCGGGGAGCTGCTCTGGGGCGAAGGGAGGGCGGGGACTTGGAGAGAGCGCCCTGGGGTGCCCCCCGCCCCGCCCGCGGGTCCGGCGCCCGGCGCCCCGCTCTCCCGGCGCCGCTCCCTCGCGCTCTCCGCCGCGCGGCCTGGAGCTCCGGGGCGGCGCTGCGTCGGGGCCCGCCCCGGGCCCGCCCGCCCGCGACCGCTCGCCGGCTCCCAGGGCGGCCGAGCCCGCCGCCCGGGCCATGTCGGCGCCGGAGCTCATTGAGCTGCGGGACCTGGGCCCCGCGCGCCGCACCCGCCTGGAGCGCGCCAACGCGCTGCGCATCTCGCCCGGCCCCGCGCGCAGCCCGGCCAGAGCGCCGGCCCCGGGCCGCGGCCACCGCTTCCAGCCCGCGGCGCCCGCCACGCACACGTGGTGCGACCTGTGCGGGGACTTCATCTGGGGCGTCGTGCGCAAGGGCCTGCAGTGCGCGCGTGAGTAGCGCCCCGAGCGCCGGCGAGAGAAGCGGGCGGTCAGAGGGCAGCACAGCCGCTGCGGGTCACGCGGGGGCGGAGCGGGGTGGGGGGTGGGGGGGTGGCTGGGACGCCCCCGCGGCAGGTCCAGCATCTCCCCCCAATCGAAGAGAGGGGCGCAGGTTTCCTATCTCCACACTCACTGCCCGCGCCTGGGCCCCGCCGGGCAGAGGCAGCGCTGGGAGCACCGGGTGCTGCTTTCCAGGTGCTCCTCTCCCAAGAGCCTGAGCCCTTTTATGTTTATTGGCTTCAGAGAGCGAGGGAGAGGGAGAGGGAGAGAAACATCGATGATGGGAGAGAACCATGGATCAGCGGCCTCCTGCACGCCCCACATTGGGAATTGAGCTGGCAACCCTGGCTCATGCCGACCGGGAATCGAACCCTGACCCCTGGGTTCATCCGTTGAGCACCCCTGAGCCACGGCAGCCGGCCCCGTGGCCCTTTGTGAGCAAGGCTTTGTGCCCACCGGTCTCCGAAGTCCACATTCCCGAAAATTCATTCACCGTGGTTCCCCGGATCACTGCGGGGTGGGCATATGCCCACCTATGGAAACGGGGCCGGGGGAAAGGTGGAACCTTGGTGGGCCCCATGAGCAGGGGATTCTGTCGTCTTCCTATAGCAGATTCTATACAGGCGCTAAGACATGAAACACAGCACCACACACCCCTGGGGTCCTCCGCCTCCCTGGCCCCAGCAGCAAGCAGGGGCCGCCCTCACTCTGGCTGCACACCAGCCAGAACCACGGGGATGCTTTACAGCCCTCGAACCCGTGCCTGGCCCTACCTCAGACCTGCTGAATCCGTCACTGGGAGCGTATCGTATCACCGGTTTTTAAAACCTCTTTCTCACGTGCAGCCTGGGTGGCAAATCACTGCTCGGGCCCATTTGAGAATTTAGGAAGATGCCCCAGGCCTGTCCGTGCCTGGAGACCCTCCCGTCCGCTACAGGAGTCTGTCCTGAACTCAGCTGGGGCAGACCCGGGAGATGTGACAGAGTACAGGGCATGAACCAGAGCCGGGACGTCCCGGAGAAAACAGCGGCCATGGCAATTAAAAACACAACGTGGGTGTGTGTCAGAGGCAGAAGCAAGGCTGGAGTCGCGGATGAGTGGGGTTTTGGCTCACACAGCGGGGAGGATGGTATCCATTTCCGCTGAGACGAGGAACGCTGGCCAGGGTTGGGTGGGTTGGGAGAAAAGCTCCCGTGTGGCCATGCTGGTTGCAATGTCAGACACCCAAGTGAAGGTTCGGATGTGCAGGACTTGGCCTGAGCGGGAGCCGAGAGGGGGGCCTGGGATCTGGGTGGGCTGAGTGTGCACAGAGCAGGGCAGTGACAAGACTGGGCCTCCATGATAGGCTACCCCACATCGGGGTGTTGACCAAAGGAAGGAGCTGCGGGGAAGTGGAACACACGGGGCCGTGGGGGGCCCTGGGAACCGATGGGAGGGGGGGGAGGATGGAGAGAGGGCCGCGGGCGTGGGCAGTGCCCAGTTGCTGAGGACCCGACTGGGCGGTCTCCTGTTGCGGGTGAGGCCAGGAGCGAGTGCAAGGGCATCGGAGTGGATGTTCTGCTCAGCGGGGAGCAGAGGCAGGTGACAACTGGGACATGGGTTTTGCTGCGTTTCCCTTCGGGGCGGGGGGAGGGCGTAAGGTCTGGAGCTCCGACTGCAGAGCAGGCCTGGTCCCCTAACCGCCACCGCGGCCCCCGCCCGTCCCGCCGCCTCGTCTGGAGCTGTGGGCGGCAACGGCCTTCTCCCTGCGGCTTCTCTTCCGTCCGTGGCCGCTCCTCGGCCTCACGCCAGTCCTCTCCGCAGACTGCAAGTTCACCTGCCACTACCGCTGCCGCGCGCTCGTCTGCCTGGACTGCTGCGGCCCGCGGGACCTGGGCTGGGAGCCGGCGCTGGAGCGGGACACCAACGTGGTGAGTGTGGGGCCGGGCGCGCGGGCGGGGCGGGGCGCAGAGGCGGCCCGGGGCTGGCTCCGCCAGGCGACCTCCCCGCGGCAGAGCGGAGAGCGGGCGCGGGCTCGAAGGGGTGGGAGGACCGCCTCCGCGCGGACTACGCCGCCGCCCAGCCCGGCGCCTGCGCCATTTCCGCGCCTTCCGCCGCCGCATCCGGCCCCGCGGCCACGCTGGTGCACATGCGCACTGGCGCCCACGCGCCGCCCGGCTCCCCAGGGGAAGTGAGACCCGCGGCGGCGCCCAGCCCAGCTGCCTGGGCGATGAGATCACTCGCGGGGGCGGGGCGCTCGCGTGGCCCCGCCCCCGAGAGTTCCTCCTCCAATGAGAGGGGAGCGAGGCAGCCGCCGCTGGCCATTCGCAGCGGTGACGGCCGCCGCGCGGACACTGGGCGGCGCACGCGCACAGGGGCGCACGGGACGCAGGCGCGCTGGGCGGTGGTTGGCGGCTCCGGGAGCGCGGCTGGGTGAGCTGCCGGCTGCGGCGCGGCGATGGGCGAGGCGGACGCAGAGACGCCCTCCTTCGAGATGACCTGGAGCAGCACGACGAGCAGCGGCTACTGCAGCCAGGAGGACTCGGACTCGGAGCTGGAGCAGTACTTCACGGCGCGCACCTCGCTGGGGCGCCGGCCGCGCCGGGACCAGGTGGGGGCCGGGGCGGGGGGCGGCGGGCCGGGGGCGATCGCGGGGCCCGCCCCTGCCCGGTGAGTCTCCGTGGGCAGCCCCGCGCTCCCGTCGGCGTGGATCCCGGCCTGGCCGAGCACAGACCGGTCCAGCCAGGGGAAGCGGCTGCGTGGCGTGGGGCAGATCGGGGCCGGGCACAGTCCGCCTATGACTCAGGCCCCTGCGCGGGCTGGACTAGACCTCGGTTTCCGCGTCCGGGCCCAGCGTCCCTGGGAAGAAACCAGGAGGAAGCAGAGGGGGAGGCGTCCTCCCGGGAAGTGAGAAGTGTTTGTAGGGGGGCGGCCCGGAGTGGTGTGCGCCCCCGGATGGAACTGATCTCCACCCCCGGCGGGTCCCGGCCTGCCACAGCGGCCGGACTGTGGAGGGCGCTGAGCCCCACCCGCGGGTGGACGCCGAGTGTGCCCTTGGGAGCACGTACACGGAACGTGGAGTGGATCTGGGGATCCGGGGGTTTGGGGATGGATGGGAAGGAAGCCTTGTTTGGGACCATAAGTATCGGGGAAGGCCAGATGGTCAACTCCCCGTAAGGGGAGAGGGGGATGGGGGTGTTACTAACCCAGGATATAAGGGGGTCTCCCGGGGTGCCCTCCTTGGAGAATTCTGTGCCAGGAGTGTGACTGCCAGGCTCAGATAACTAGCGCAGGGGAGCTGGTCACCTGGGGGAGCACCCTGACCAGAGAGCACGGGGAAGAGGTGGCACCAGGAAGCTCAGGACCTGCGGCCGAGGAGGCGGATTCCACACAGGAGCCCAGAGAAGGGGCGGATGTGCGTTAGGTGAAGACTGTGTGCCTCCGGCCTCAGCCCCCAGCTCCGAGCGTGGACCCCGGAATCGGCCTCTGTGTCCCTCAGTTTCCCTGGTGGAAACGTGAGGAACCACAGGACGCGCTCACCGGCCAGGAGCAGGGCGTCCGCTGTGTGTGGAACAGACCCGGTCACTGGACGGGCGGTGGGGCGGGTGCTGTGCTCGGGGAGGAGGTGGGCATCCCTCTGGCCTGGCTGTGGGAACCCCCTTCCCGGCAGCTTTGGAAACGCACAGAGAATCTTCCTCCTCTCCCCCGGCAGCACGGGCCTCCTGGGGAAGGAACGGGGCTGGGACGGAGAAAGGAAGTCTCACTCCCAGACGGGAGCTCGGCTCCATCCCAAGGCCGGGGTTAAGTTAGTGCTGCCCCTGTGCCCACCCCGTGTGTAACCAGAATTCTCTTCCTTCCTGCCCTGGCACTAGCGTCCGCTCAGCTTTCCTCCTGCCCCGAGCACCCCCTCATCCTGGCTCTCCTCACTGAGGCATTGCCCTCGGCCCCGGCCTCCCCTCCAGCCCACCCTTTATTCCCCGCCTCCAGCCTCCTGTACCCACCCCGGAATCCCCGTGTTCTAGGGCCCACATGCTTGTTCTTACCAGCCTTAGGGGCAAGCACTGTCCCCGAGGCTTGTGCTGAAGTTGCACTTCCCGATGCTCCCTCTGTCCACTCAGGAGGCAGCGGGCTTCAGTCCCCACCTCTCTCAGAACCTTCTTCCTGGAGAGCCCCCTCAGCCCTCAGCACCCGCCTCGCTCTGCTGGACAGCGGCCAGTTTGGGGTGCTGAGCACACAGCCAGAAGGCCGACTCCGCCCTGCGGCCTCACCTGTCTTCCCAACGCCCCCTCAGATGGTTTAAGCTTAGGGGCTAAAGCATAGCCTGGCACAGGGCTGTTCTGTAAGAGACCTCTGGTGGGCACTCCCTGGGGACTTGGGACCAGACGTTAGTCACCATGATCTCAGCTGTGCCTGCCCCTCCCACCCTGTTCGGGCCAGTCTGACGTCACCGGGAAAGGAAGTAAGGCTGATGCAATGGGACCGAGGCCACTTGATAGAAGAAAGTTTATTCAGCGCCCTGCTGCCCCGGTCCACACCACACCTTTCCAGAAGAATCCACTTCCTGGGGGGGTGGGAGGGGCTGAGTGGTGGCGCTACCTCTGTGTTTCCAAACACCCACCAGCAGGAAGGAGGTGCAGAAACCTGCCTGCCTGGCACCTGCGCTAGCAGGATGGACTTGGAACCTGGCCTGAAGCTACCTTTTGCGCAGCACCCGGGGTCAGGCGCCCAATGGCACGCCTCAGCGCTTCCCTCGCCAGATCTCAGCCGTGCGGCTGGCCCGGGCCCTCTGCTGGGCGCTGCCGTCTTAGAGGCTTCCCTTCCCCTCTGCCCACTGGTGGCTGGGCTCCCGCTGTGCACCAGCCTCACACTCACCGTGCAGGGAGCCCGGCCCTTTGCCAGGGGGAGGCAAAGTGGGCTTCCTCTCTGGACACATCCCCCTCCAGTGCTGGGATCTCAGTGTCCCCTTCTCTCCCTGCCCGGGCTTTGTGCTTCAGCGCCTTGGTTTTAAGGTGCCCGTAGGGCCTCACCTGGCTTGTCCCGTGGGGTAGAGCGCAGCCTTTGCCGTCCCCATCCGTAGCCGGAGCGGTGATGGGCTCCCCTCAGGCTCAGCTGTGTCAGTTCCCAAAGGCCACGCCAGAGGCCGTTCCCCGCCACCAGGCTTCACCTCTGTCTGGGGCAGGCATTGCTGTGTGGACGGCTCCTAAGGTCCGTGCTGGCCCATCTTTCAGGACGAGCTCGTGCAGTGGGAGACACCTGACCTCTCTCAGGCTGAGACTGAGCAGAAGATCAAGGAGTACAATGGCCAGATCAACAGCAACCTCTTCATGAGCCTGGTGAGTTACCGGGAAGGGCAGCGGGAGGGGCAGGGCCCGCTGTGTGCCCGCTGCCGAAGGGTCACGGCTGAGGTGCTGTGGGTGGCCCCTCGGAGACCGATGCACATCCACCCTGGCCCCTGCGGGGGGCAGCGCCCAGTCTGTGCCTCCTCGCCGGAGCCCGGCCATGGTTCCTTTCTCCTCAGAACAAGGACGGCTCCTACACGGGCTTCATCAAGGTGCAGCTGAAGCTGGTGCGGCCGGTCTCCGTGCCGGCCAGCAGGAAGCCGCCCAGCCTGCAGGACGCCCGGCGGGGCCCGGCGCGGAGCGCGGCCGTGAAGCGCCGCACCTCCTTCTTCCTGCCCAAGGACGCCATCAAGCACCTGCACGTGCTGTCCCGCACGCGGGCGCGCGAGGTCATCGAGGCGCTGCTGCGCAAGTTCTCGGTGGTGGACGACCCCCGCAAGTTCGCGCTCTTCGAGCGGGCGGAGCGCCACGGCCAAGGTGGGCCCCCCCCCCTGCCCCAGGGTGTGTGCACGCAGGGCTGCGGGGGCCGGGCCTGACTAGTCTCCCCGCCTGCCTCAGTGTACCTCCGGAAGCTGTCAGATGACGAGCAGCCCCTGCGGCTGCGGCTCCTCGCCGGGCCCAGCGAGAAGGCCCTGAGCTTCGTGCTGAAGGAGAATGACTCTGGGGAGGTGAACGTGAGTACCCGGCCTCCCTCCTCTGGGCTCTCACCAGGCAGGGCGGAGGCTGCAGCCCCTGTAAGGCGGGGAGGGGGAGGGGGAGGGGGAGGGGGAGGGGGAGGGGGAGGGTGAAGGACAAGCCCTGCCACGCTCCGCCAGGAGGGTGAGAGCCTTGTGGCTGAGAAGGCTTCCTGGCCATTCATGCCTAAAAAGCCAGGGAGAACGGCCTGGCGCGCTGCTCTCCCATCTGGAATCCTCGGGAGATGAGGCCGTCTCACACTGCGGTGATCCCAGGCCAGGGCGCAGCCGCACAGGTGGCCCCAGAGGTCCTAGCTGCCCTCCAGCCCTTAGGACTTTGTACCTGGTGAGATGTGTGGGGCCATCAGTGGGATTGGACTGAGTGTGAGCACGGCCTGCCTGTGGTCGCTGGGAACGTTGGTTCGGTTGCCTGCTGTGAGGGAATGGCCTACTTTGTGGGACCCGTGTTCCAGAAGCCGTGGTGGGGATCCTAGCACCGACCATTCAGGCAGGAACTGATGTTAGAAAGCCCCAGATCGCCGGGTCTCTGGGGAGGGCTTGTTGGCCTGGCCCTGCCTGCTCAGCGCTGCCGCCCTCCCCCTGCAGTGGGATGCCTTCAGCATGCCCGAGCTCCACAACTTCCTGCGCATCCTGCAGCGGGAGGAAGAGGAGCACCTGCGCCAGATCCAGCACAAGTACTCCCGGTGCCGCCAGAAGCTCCAGGAGGCCCTGCACGCCTGCCCCCTGGGGTGACCGCCCCCTGGTGGAAGGAGGAGCGCAGGCAGCACAGGGTGTGCCGTGTGAGTGTGGCAGGGCCTGTGTGGCCTGAGGAATGAGTGTGCATGGAGGCCCTCGTCGGCTGGCGGGTGAACCCAGAGAACAGCAAAGGAGCGCAGGACAGCTCTGCACCTGCCCCTCCGTGCAGAGTCATGGCACAGGGCTGCTCCAGGCTTGCAGCAAGGGTAGAGCAGACAGAAGTCTCCTTAGTTTGTGTCTCGAACACGAGGATCTGGGAGACCCAGCAAACAGAATGGGGTCATGTTTGCAGGGAAGAGGACTCGCCTGTGGGGAAGGTGGTGTGTCTCGGATGGGGTCTCGGGACAGCCCTGTGGAAGCCGATGGTGGGTGTTCAGTGTAAGGCAGGCATCGAGGAAGAAGCAGGGCTTCCTCCAGTGCCTCTGGAGTCGGCGTGCCGGCCGCCGCTGCAGCATCAGTGCCTCTGCCTCCTCCGAGGGGGTGTCCTGGCTGGGGCCTGTGGGCACTGGCTCAGGTCCATGCCTCGTTTGCCAATCAAAGCCAGGGTCTTTACGTGGAGTATTTTGATGATGTGTGTGAATGTATATTTTGTGGCCTCAGCTCAATGCCTCCTGGGGGAAAGGGGTGGGAGTGATGTCATCAGGGCCGGGGGCTGGGGAAAACTTGGCTGAATAAAGATTCGAGAATCTCCTGCTTTTGGACTCTATATGGGCCTGCAGCCCGTTGCTCTTCATGCCAGTGATGGACAGGCTCACAGACACTTTTTCAAAGTCACTATGGGACCAATTTGTGAAGGATTCGGGGTACAGATATGGAAGTCCTCTCGCCACCCTGGGGCTCACGTCTTGGTTTGGGCAAGATCATGAGCTGCAGCTAGCGCTTAGGGAAGCCACACACCCCCGAGCCGTGGGAGCCGCTCTGTGGACGGACACTCGCTGCTCATGGCGCCTGAAGCCCTGCCCTCCTGAAGCAGGCCCTCTGGTTTGGGTGGGAGGAGGGGGGGGGATTGGATTTGGCTTCTCAGGCCTCAGTGTGGCTGAATGACATCTGGCCAATCCCCTCACTTCCCCTGGGTTCCGATTCTTCTCCACATGCCAGTGATGGCAAAGGGAACAGAACGCGGCCGGGCAGGCACCGCGGCCTGGCCTGGGGGTCAAGTCCCACAGCTGGGTTAGGGGCACACTGGCGGTTGGGCGGTCCGCCGGCCTGACTGGCGCACGGGCACGTCGGAGGCGCCATCCGCGCAGGACAAGCCGCCGCCTTCCCGAGCGGAGCTGCCCGGCTGGAGGCGGCGGCCCGCCGGGACCGGGCGGCCCGCAGTGCATCCTGGGATGCCTGGTGTCTGGGTCGGCCATTGGCTTCGCTCTGCGGATCGACGGGAGGAACAGCCAATCAGGGGGCAGCATGCGGGACGGGCGGAAGCGGAAATGAGGTTTCCGTGGAGACAGCCGACCCTGCGGAAGACGGCGGCGGCACCTGCGAGCGGAGGCCGGGGCAGGAATGGTGGCGCGCACTGCCCTGTGAGAGCGAAGCGGCCGCGGGGTCCGCCATGTGCCGGCGGCCCTGACATGGGCACCAGCGGCTCCAAAGCTCGGGGGCTGTGGCCCTTCGCCTCGGCGGCGGGGGGCGGCGGCCCGGAGGCGGCGGCCGCGGAGCAGGCTTTGGCGCGGCCGCGAGGCCGAATGGTGCCCCCCTTCGTGTTCACGCGCCGAGGGTAAGGGCGCGGGTTCGGCCCCGGGAGGACAGGCTGGCGGCCAGCGCCGTGCGCCATAGTAGCTCCCCGCCGCATCCTCTGCGGGAGCGAGGACGCCCCCGTGTCCAGGCCCCTTGGGGAGCAGGGGCCGGCGGTGGGTTCCGGAGGCCCGCTGCCCTCAGGATCTCGCCTGGCGAAGCGGGGGCCAGAGTCTGCGCCTGGGCAGGCAGCCTTACGCGCGGCCGAACGCAGATGGGGCTCTGAGGATAAAGGACCTTTTCCCTGGACCCCGTTAAGCCCAGCCGGCAAGGCGAAGGCCCGGCCTCCCTCTTCCTGATTCTTCTGAGCGGGGATGCCCCCTGTTTGGGCTGTTACGGTTTCCCACGGTGGTGAGGTTGGGCCTGAGGGCAGGGCAGGGGTGGGGGGAGGAAGCAGGACGGGGGCTAGGAGAAAAGACACAGCCCAGCATGCTCTCCGGATCCGGAGCCCTGACCGCTCCCAGGGGCTCAGCAGGAGCATTAGATTGAACTGGCCCTGGTGGTCCCCAGGGAGATGCTGGCGCTGGCGCTGGAGGGTCTGGCTGCACGGGCCCCGGGGGGGCTGGGAAGGAGGCAGCCTTCCTCCTCTAGGTTCCCTCCCAGCTCAGGCAGCTGCTGTCTCAGCCTTGGCCCTGGGCCAGCCGTGTCTTCTGGACCAACATGCTCAGCCACCACCCTGCCCGCTCTGTCATCCTGGCTGAAGGCAGGGCCTGATGCTGGAATGGCTCTTCCTGCTGAATGGACCAGCGATGAGAACTGGCCGTGGCTGCCCGGACAGCGCGCTCTGGTGTAGCCTCTCCTCCGGGGCCTGCCGGGAGCACTGGCCACTGCCCGCTCCTCACCCCCTTCCTCCTCGCAGCCCCAGGCCCTAAGCACATCCTCCGGCGGGCGTGTTAGCTCCCGTCCCTTCACTCAAGCGCTGCTCCCTGTGTGGAGGTGGGCACACGTCCCGGCGGTCTGTGGCCTCTGCCCAGCCCGTCCCCCTCCTCCCACAGCTCCATGTTCTACGATGAGGATGGAGACCTCGCTCACGAGTTCTACGAGGAGACGATCGTCACCAAGAACGGGCAGAAGCGGGCCAAGCTGAGGCGGGTGCACAAGAACCTGATTCCTCAGGTGAGGGCGGGCCTGTGCCAGTGTGAGAGGGCGGAGCCTGTGCCAGTGTGAGAGGGCGGAGCCTGTGCCAGTGTGAGAGGAAGGAGCCTGTGCCAGTGAGAGGGAGGAGCCTGTGCCAGTGAGAGGGAGGAGCCTGTGCCAGTGTGAGAGGGAGGAGCCTGTGCCAGTGTGAGAGGGAGGAGCCTGTGCCAGTGTGAGAGGGAGGAGCCTGTGCCGAGTGTGAGAGGGAGGAGCCTGTGCCGAGTGTGAGAGGGCGGAGCCTGTGCCAGTGTGAGAGGGAGGAGCCTGTGCCAGTGTGAGAGGGAGGAGCCTGTGCCAGTGTGAGAGGGCGGAGCCTGTGCCAGTGTGAGAGGGCGGCCCGGATGGGGGCTGCTGGGGGAGGAGCTGGGAGGAACGGGAAGGCTTCCTGGAGAAGGGCCCCAAGCTGACCCTCACTAGCCCCCGTTTCCACGGCAGGGCACCGTGAAGCTGGACACGCCCCGAATCCACGTGGATTTCCCTGTGATCCTCTATGAGGTGTGAGCCTGGGGGTTCAGGCCTAAGCACCTCCTGCCTCAGCAAGAAACCCTCAGCTCAAGGCGCGGCTCCCGCCGAGGAGCGGCTGCAGCCTCTGTCCTGATTAAACCCCACGGGCCTAGACGCCGCTGTGAGCCTCAGGCCTGCGTGTTGGTTGGGTGCTGGTTTGTCTTCGGATGAGAGCGGGCTGGGGAGGGCATACCAGCCCACCTTCCTTGGCCATCCCCATCAGGAGCTGGGCGGGGCAGAGGCCGATGGAGGATGCGTGGTTCCTGCGCCTGGCGTGGCCTGCTTGCTTCCAAGCTTGCCCGGGACCCCACCTCCCGGGCTACAGCACTTTACAAGTAAGGTCTCTCTTCCAGCCTGGGCTTGGGAGCTGAACACAGTGGGGACTCCCTCCCCTCACTTCCTCTACCCGGTCCTCGGAGCATTTCAGCCATTTGCTACCTCGATTCCTCCTCTGTTGGACAGAGGCTGAGGGCAACACAAACCTGATTCTTCCTACCCACCTGCCCTTGTGTTCCCGCCCCCAGAGGGAGGGGCAGTTGCAGGCTGTTCGCAGGAGGAGGGGCTGGTGTGGGGGCTTCTCCCTCTGCCAGGACTGGGCTGATCCCTCCCTCTGCAACTAGTTGCCCCTGGAGTTGTCCTCCACGCCCCCTCCCCATAGGATGGGATCAGGTTGGGCTCTGGGTGCCTATGCCTCTGGGGAGGTGCCCCTACCCACTGTCTCCATGTGCTCTTCCTTGCCTTTTGCACCAGTCTCCCCCCACCCACATTGGGAGGACACCACCCTGTGGTGTCAGTAGCTCTGAGCCCACCACTCTTTCCCCTATAGTGTGCCCATCCCTTCAGGATCAGTCAGGGGAAAGTATCGGAGCCCCTGGGTAGGGACAGAGAACAACTATAAAAGGCTAAAATGTGAAAGTCTGTAAATAGTCTAGTCCATGACATGGTTGGGACAGAGTCTGATTTCTACATAGAAGTGACTTTTTTTTTTTAATTCCTTACTGTGCAAGCTCTGTGCTTCCAGAGTATGGGAAGTGGTGTGGGGAGGGTGGCCCCCAGTCTAGGAAGGCTGTTGTGTTATTGGTTCAGTTTCAATAAAATTATTTGTAGACCCTAAAGACCAGAGTGGCATCCTTGGGGTTGTGACAGCTGGCATCCAGACCACCACAGGGCTCAGTGGGTAGGCCTGGGCCCAGGACCCTGGCTCCCATTTATAGCAAGGCCAAAGGTGCCCATGTGTGGCTGGCCCCGGAGGTGTGGACAAATGGAGCCTGTGCCAGTGTGAGAGGGAGCAGCCATCTCCGGCATGACCAGGAGGTGGCAGTGTGCTCACACAGACCTTACCACGGGATCCCTCAGGGTGGAAGCCCCCCCTCTGTCTTTGCCTTCCAGAGGTGGTGTCCCTGGGACTGAAAGGTCTTGGGAGACTTCAGTAGGGCTTGGCCTCCCCGGCCTAACCTGAGGCGAGAGAGTGACTCACACAGGTCTGGAGTAATGACCTGCCCCAGCAGTGCCACAGCCTAAACCCTGTGGACCTCCAAGGCCCAGGCTTAAGGGGACAGCAGCGAGGTGGGGGCACCGCACCCGGTCTACTTCCGGGCTCTGCACCCCCAGTCCACCTGCCGCCTCCTGGGCGGCCTGTGGGTGCTACCGGGAGAGTGGGCTTGGGGCTCAGTACTGGTGGCAAAGCTCAGCCACCAGTACTGCGCCCTTGCCACCCACTGTCTGACCTGCCGCCTGCCCCCTGTGGACATTCCGCCTCCCTCTCAGGGCTGCTTGAGGCCAGGTCCCGGCTCTGCCCGGCCCTTGGCCATCAGCCCAGCCTCATCCGGGAGAGGGCCTTCAGGCACAGGCTCCTAGTCTGGGGAGCTGGCCGCCAGCCTCTGGAGGTCACGCTACAGCCTGGACTAACAGTTCTCTGGGCACCTGCCCATTTCCCCAGTGAGATATCACACAAGTTCCGGTCATCTCATGCCCGCCCCCGGGGACAGGGTTCTGCCTGGCCACGTGGCACCCCATCTCCTAGCACCACTGTCCCGAGTGGGAGAACTGCCTGTGCTGGGCTTGCCCCCGCTGACCCCAGCGCTGGAAACAATGGGAGTCAGGTCACCACTTCCCCACACCCTCCCGCTGGGCTGTGCTCACTTCCTTCCTGCTGCCCGCCTGAGGAAGTGTCCCTGCCTGGGACAGTCTGGCCTGCTCTTTGTTTCCCCCGGGGCTCCACCCTGAAGCTTTCAAAGCCAGCATCCCTGGTGGAACCTGCTTGGTAGTATAGGGACGCCACCCTCCCATGCCATGTCCAGGGCTCCTTGGCCCACAGGGCAGACCACAGGGTATGTGCCCACTTCCCCCAGGAAAGAGGCCTGGGTGTCAGGGAAGTGGGCCAGCAGGGTAAAGGCTGGAGGAGAGGTACGTTCAAAGTGACCTGAGGGGTGCCCATTTGTCCACACCTCCTGGGGCCAGCCACACATGGGCACCTACTTCCCACAGGCTGCACGGAGCCGCCTACTCTGCAGCGTCAGGGAAATCCCTCCGGCAGAACTCCCTGCAGGCCCTCCCCCACCCAGTCACACATCAGCATGTCTGTTGGTCAAACTCGGTGGATACTTCCGCTCTCAGTGGAAAAGACTGACTCAGTTCCTGGAATTTCTCCCAACCCCTTCCCAGACCCCCCTTCCCTTCATCACCTGCTCAGGGGAACCATCAGCCAAGCACCCCCAAATAGTCTGACTCCCCGAACTCCCAACACCAGGGCCCTTGCACTCTCCTGGATCTTAGGATGGTCTCGGCCTCAAAGGAAAGGGGGACAAGAGCCTCAGTGTTCAGGAAGCTTCCGGCCTGTGGGAGGCTGGCACCTGAGTGGGCTCCCACAGCCTTCCTGTCACTGGCCCCGCTGGGCCTGGGAGGACCTCGGGAGAAGGGTGGGAGGACAGTCCGCCGGTAGGGCAGACCCGAGGGAAACAGGGTCACAGCCGTCCCACCCCCGCGCCATTCCTGGCCCTTTCCTCTCCAAGGGGCAGCAGGAAGTGAGGAGAGAGGGCTGGGATGAGAGGCGGGAGGGAGGAGGAGGGGATGGGGTTTATCAAGTCGCCGGCGGGCTGCCCGCTGGGCAGTAGCTGGACTGGAGAGGCTCTAAGCTACGCAGCGAGGACTCCCGCACAGGTGAGCCCAGCACGGACGGCTGGTTGCACCCGCACAGGTGCGCTCTCAGCTGTGCTCCCCCTCTCCCCTGCTTGCGAGCGGGAATGGGCTGGTGGGGCCGACCCTGCCCGGCCCTTCGGGAGCTGAGCTCGGCGCGGGGAGCAGATCTAGGAAGAGGCAAGGGGGTCTTGCTCCAGTCCAGCTGCAAGCCCGCTACCCCGCAGAAGGGGTTTGCGGGGAGAGGGGACCAGGATAGCGGATGGAGGCCTGGGGAGCCCCTCTGGCCTGGCCAGCGTTCTCTGCGACCCCACCAGGACCTTCTGCAAGGGTGGCCGCCACCTCCTCGGGTGAAAGGAAGCCTTGGGGGCTCCACAGCCCCCCACCCTCATCCTCCAAGACTGGGCAGGAGGGGAGGGGAGTCCAGAACGGGCCCGTGCCTGAGGCATGTCCCTGTTAGGGGGGTGCCCTATCCCGAGGGCCCGCTGGCCAACAACCCGCAGGCCAAGCTGAGACCCACAGCTCCTGTTGCCAAGACAACCACTGCCTCAGCCCAGCCCAGAAAGGAGAGTTGGTCAAGCAGGGGGCGGGGCTCCCCTTCAGACCCTGGCCGGGGGAGGGGAGCCCCGATCCACAGGGGTTCACTGTCCTGGGAGTCTGGAGATGGGCTCTGGTCACCGTCCCCCTTCCCACACAAAGGGTCCCCCGCCCCCCGGCTGGGGCTACACTGAGGGGTGCAGAGCCAGATCCGCTGCTGCCCCCAAAGCAAGGCCGCGGGGTCCCACAGAACCTCCTTGCTTCTGAGGGGGGGATCCCACCTCCTTTTTGGCCTCCCCATCCCCGTCCTTTATGCTGCTGTCCCTTTAAGAGGCCGGCCGCGCCGCGGAGCGGGGAGGACCGTACCACCCGCACAGGCGGCGGGGGGGTGTCCCGGCCTGGCTGGCGTCAGCCGCTGAGCCTCCAGGAGACATCCCCTTCCGGAGGGGCCTCGGGGTCCTACAAGGGTTACCACGTCCCTTGGAGGAGGATCCGGGGACGCCAGAGCCCAAAACACCGCCCTGGCGGCGCGGACACGGAGCGCCCCCCCCCGCCCCGGCCGCCAGCCCTGCCCCGGGCCCGCCTCCGGGCAGGACTCTTAAAGGGCCCTCGGCCGGGGGCGGGGCCAGCGGAGGCGCCGACCGGCCGGGTCTGGGCAGGCGGCCGGAGTGGGCTGGGCCGGGCCCAGGATGGCGGTGGCGATGGCGCGGGTCCTGGCGGTGCCCCGCGCGAGGTGAGGCCGGGCGATGCCAGCCTGGCGGCCCTCCGCCCACGGGCTGGGCTCCGAGCCCCCGGGAGGCGGCACGGGGACCCCACCCCCCGGCCGGGCTCGGGCCCCACGTGCGGGGCGGGGGCGGGGTCCCGCACAAAGGCCCGGCGCCGCGAGCTCTGCCCCGGCCCGCCCGGCGGTGGGCGCGCGCGTTCCCGGGGGCTGGGCAGGCAGGGCCGGCCCCCCCTTTGTCCCCGCGGGGCCCCCCGGAGCCGGGAGCGGGGCCCAGTCCTGACAGCCTCCCGGGCCGGGCGGGTGCGCCCCAGCCGGCCGGCCGCTGCCCGGCTGCCCTGCCCGCCTCGCCCGAATGCTGGCGTGTCTGCACCGAGAGCCCCTCCCGGGTACACAGCGGCCTCGGCCCGGGCTCTCCGGAGCGGAGTGCGGGCATCGCGGAGCTCTGGGCAGCGAGTCAGTAGCTCCATGGGCCCGGTTCTCAGGGGCCACAGGCCTCACATGGGTCCTCCCAGCCGCAGGCCACCTGCTGTGCTCCCGCCCGAGCTCCCCGGGCCAGGCTCGCCCCTGGGGGTGAGGCTCGCCCCCGGGGGCCTGTGGTCCCTCAGACCTGCTACAGCCAGGCCACAGGGTCTGCACCGCCCTGGGCACTGCCCCGCACAGCAGCGTGGAAGGGTCAGAGGCTGGCACCTCCAGGCTGACCTGCCCTCTCCCATCACCCTCTCCGCAGCTCCTGAGCCGGTGCCGGCAGGTGACCCCACCTCCCTGCAGCCCCCCAGCATGTGGGCAGGCCTGAGCCCCGCCATCGTCCCGGCCCTGGCGCTGGCCCTGGCGCTGGCGGTAGCATGGGCCAAGGAGCTCAAGCCCACGGCGGCGCCCATCTTCACCGGCCGGCCCTTCGTGGTGGCCTGGGACGTGCCCACGCAGGACTGCGGGCCGCGCCTCAAGGTGCCGCTGGACCGGGAGGAGACGGCCTTCGACGTGCGCGCCTCCCCTAACGAGGGCTTCGTCAACCAGAACATCACCATCTTCTACCGCGAGCGGCTGGGCCCGTTCCCGCACTTCGACGCGCAGGGCGGGCCGGTGCACGGCGGCGTCCCGCAGAACGACAGCGTGCTGCGGGCGCACCTGGCCGCGCTGCCCGAGCGCCTGCGCCACTACATCCGCCAGCCCGAGCCCGCCGGCCTGGCCGTCATCGACTGGGAGGACTGGCGGCCCGTGTGGGTGCGCAACTGGCAGGACAAGGACGTGTACCGCCAGCGGTCGCGCCAGCTGGTGGCCAGCCGCCACCCGGACTGGCCGCCGGACCGCGTGGCCAAGCAGGCGCAGTACGAGTTCGAGTTCGGCGCCCGCGAGTTCATGCTGCGCACGCTGCGCGCCGCCAAGCGCTTCCGGCCGCGGCACCTGTGGGGCTTCTACCTCTTCCCCGACTGCTACAACCACGACTACGCGCAGAACTGGGCCACCTACACCGGCCGCTGCCCCGACGTGGAGGTGTCCCGCAACGACCAGCTGGCCTGGCTCTGGGCCGAGAGCACCGCGCTCTTCCCCTCCGTCTACCTGGACGAGACGCTCGCCTCCACCCCGCACGGCCGCAACTTCGTCAGCTTCCGCGTGCAGGAGGCGCTCCGCGTGGCCCGCACCCACCACGCCGGCCACGCGCTCCCCGTCTACGTGTTCACCCGGCCCACCTACAGCCGCAGCCTCACGGGCCTGAGCCAGGTACGGCCTCCAGGGCCCCGCCTTCCTCCCCAGGGGCCTCCTGCCTCCACTGCCCCGGCCACTCTCCCTCCCCAGCCCTCCCCTCCACCTCTGTAACCTGGGGAGATGGCAGCATCGCAGCTCCATGATGCAGATGAGAAAATCAGGGCCCAGACATGCTGAGAGCCGACCCCAGTGCCTGCCAGGAGACCCAGGACAAAGCAGGGGCGTTAGCGTGGGCGTGGGGTGGGGGTGGGGGTGTGGGTGGGGGTGCGCGTGCTGATTTTGGAGTCTCCCTTGGTAGATATAGACTAGAATCCAGAGAGTGGCCCCAAAGCCGGGGTGGAAATGCCTTAAACACTTAGGAGAGAGTGAGAGGGGAGGACTGGGCTGGGGAAGGCCACCAGGTCTGAGCAGGAGGGGCCTGCCCACCCCTGTGCCCTCCTCCCTGCGGCCTCAGCCCCCAGTGACGTCTGTCCCTGCAGATGGACCTCATCTCCACCATCGGCGAGAGCGCTGCCCTGGGCGCCGCCGGGGTCGTCATCTGGGGCGACGCAGGCTTCACCACCAGCATGGTAAGTGGCCCCGGGGCCCTCCCGCCCGCAGGCGCTGCGGGCACAGTGAGCGTTCCGGCTTTTGGCTGCCAAACCTCAAGGTGGGCACACCTGGCCTGGCCCCCGTGTCTGTCTCCCAGGATCGGGGACGTGCCGTCCCGAGCCCCTCCCTGCTGGCCTGCAGGCTCCAGCTCTGCCTGACCCCTTCTCTGGAGGCGCGGGGACAGAGAGGGCTCGGGCACAAGTGCATGTGTACGCACGCGTGTCCCCGGTTCAGGAAGGCGCGGGCACGCCACGGTGGGTTCAGTGTCCGTCCGTCCGGGCCTGGGCGGAGGCAGCCGGCCTGATCCTGGCCTCTGCCCCCAGGAGACGTGCCAGTACCTCAAGGACTACCTGCTGCGGCTGCTGATCCCCTACGTGGTCAACGTGTCCTGGGCGGCCCACTACTGCAGCTGGGCCCAGTGCCACGGCCACGGGCGCTGCGTGCGCCGCGACCCCAACACCAACGCCTTCCTGCACCTCAGCGCCAGCAGCTTCCGCCTGGTGCCCGGCCGCTCGCCGGGGGAGCCCCTGCTGCGGCCGCAGGGCGAGCTCAGCTGGGCCGACCTCCAGCACCTGCAGACGCACTTTCAATGCCAATGCTACCTGGGCTGGGGCGGCGAGCAATGCCAGTGGGACCGTGGGGGGGCAGCCAGGGGTGCCGGTGGGGCCTGGGCTGGGGCCCACCTCATTGGCCTGCTGGCCGCGGCAGCCCTGGCCCTCGCCTGGACTCTGTAGGGATCGCTCGCCTGGCTTCGGCAAGCTGGCCTCTGCCACGGGGCTCTGCCAGGCTCTGTGCAGGGGGGACGCGGGAGTCCAGAGGGGCCGGAGCCCCTGGGATGCCCGGAGGGCGTCCTCACCAGCTCTCACCCCCTGTTCTAAGGGGGAGGGGCAGTCCCCTGGGGGACCCCTGCTGTCCCTGCCAGAGGAAGGGGCGCACAGCCTGCTCCCCTGCTCCTGGGTAGTTTATTATTAATTATTATTATTTGGGGTCTCTTTTGTAAATTAAATATGAAACAACTGCTTCTGTGCTTGAGCTGTCTGCCCCTGGGCCAGGGCCTGTGAGTGATTCCAGACGTTTCCCCGGGGTTGGAGCCCAGCTCTGTCCCTGTGAAATCTGTGTGTTCTTTCTTTTCTTTTTTTAAAAATATATTTTATTGATTTTTCACAGAGAGGAAGGAGAGAGGGACAGAGTTAGAAACATCGATGAGAGAGAGACATCGATCCACTGCCTCCTGCACACCCCCCACCGGGGATGTGCCCTTGACCGGAATCGAACCTGGGACCCTTGAGTCTGCAGGCCGACGCTCTATCCATTGATCCAAACCGGTCTTGGCAAACCTGTGTGTTCTTGACTTGTCATCGGTCAGTGTGTTCACTGGGCCCCAGGCCTGCAGCTGCCCCGCTGGACGGGCCCTGGAGCGGAGGGACTCGGGCCACCCCCGTGCCCGGCCTGGCTCTCTGGACGGACTGGAAGCGGTGGAGCCCAACCTCCTGTGAGGACGCCTCGCTGCTGCCGGCCCGCATCCCCAGCTGGGCTGGTGCCGGCTGCCTCCCTGCCCACCCAGGGTGAGGGGAGTGGAGGTTTGATCTTCCCCAGCTGGGCAAGCAGCCAGACCACTCTCCCTCCCTCCCTCCCTCCCTCCCACAGCTCCCGGGCAGTGGACTCCAGCCACACCCCTCACCCCTCACCCCGCTGGGCCATCCTCCACCGGGCATGGTCCGAGGGGGCGAGAAGAGATGGGTGTGGATTCTGAAGTCCAGTCCCGTCGCACTGCAGTCGCCTGTTGGGGTGGGGGGCACCCAGGGCCTGGGAGCAGAGAGGTCCTCCAGGCAGCCCTGTTCTGCCCCCCGGAGAGCAGAGGGTGCAGGGGAGTGGGGAGGGACACCCAGGGCTGGGAGCAGAGAGGTACTCCAGGCAGCCCTGTTCTGCCCCCGGAGAGCAGAGCGGTTGGAGCAGTCAGACCTGCTCTGGCTGCGCCACTCCCTGCCCCCGAAGGGAGTTCCCTGGGTGGGTCTCCCCAGCCTCAGCCACCCCACCCAAACCTGGGTGCCCCGTCCGAGAGTCACAGATGATTCAGCCCTAGAACAAAGCTGGGTCAAAGGTGTCGGGAACTGAAGGCAGCAGGGATGCCAGCACGGGGTGGGGTGTGGCGGGGCCTCTTATCAGGCAGAGGCAGGAGGGAAGCCTGAGCCGGAGCCACACAGCCTGGCTAGGGCTGCACAGCCTGGCTAGAGGTGGTGCCGGCTGGCTGCTCTGTAACCAGCACACGCACCTGCCGGTGCGGCCAGCTGCGGGGACGCGGCCGGGAGTCCCCGTGGAGACGCGCCCTGTCCCTGTGCGGTGCCGCGCAGAGGGAGGTGCTGGACCAGGAGACGCTCCCCAGAGAAGCAGAGGGGCGTGGGGAGGGGCGCAGAGCCCGCAAAAGCAAGTGCCTCTGAACCAACGTCCACTCTGGCTGTCCAGCCATCCTGTCCCTCCGCCTGGTGATGGCAGAGACAGGGAGGGGCTGCTGGGCGCCCTGGGAGGACAGTCACCCCCTGGTGGAGGCGGCCCCGTGTGAGGGGGTTCCGAGCTCCTGGCTTTGGGAACAGTCCTGCTCGGGGAAGATCCGGGCGTTGGTCACTGAGACCATGAGCTGATGGAGCCAGCGGAGAGCGGGCCGCTGTGAGCTGCCCTCCTCCCAGCTGTAACCTCCCAGCCCCGGTGATGGAGGCACACCTGTGGTCCAACCACGCCTGGACTCTCCCGCCTCTGTGGCCGTCCATATACACAGAGCCCCCGAGCGAAGCTCTGACCCCTCCTGTGGGCCCTCCTTTCACACTATGACCCCCTTTACACACCGTGACCTGTGAGCACCTCCCCTCGCTCCCCCAGGGGGACCGGAAGTCACTGGGAGAAAGGGCAGCTGAGGATAGAACTGGTCTCTGGGTGGCCGGGGGTGGGGGTGGGGTGGGGAGCGAGGGGATCAGGCCTGAGGTGTGCCCGACGAGAGAGCAGGCAGGTCTGGACCCGCAGCTGGCTCACCTGTGAGCAGCTAAAGAGTCATTTCTTCAGAAAAATCAGTTCCGCAGCCGAGGCTCTGGCCCGGCCTGAGATGGTTATCAATGTGCGGCCTGGCCCCTGCACAGCAAGGCCGGTTCCCATCGGTGCTCTGGGGATGGGGGTCCTCGGGGGGTAGGCAGAGGGTCGCCGGGAGGCTGAGGTCTGTCTAGGCCTGACGCAGGACGGGAAAGTTCAAATCTGAGGCCCCAGGCCAGGTAAACAGAAGGCGGCCTTCCCTGGCGGCTCTGCCTACTGACTGGTACTTTCACAGCTTGGCTCCATTTTAGTTCCTCACTCTATTCCTCAGACCCCAGACACATCCCTCGGACCAGCCCAGCCCTGCAGAGGCTAGCTTGTGGGTGGTGCCCTGGGGTGGGGCAGGGCCGCAGGCACCCAGCTGCTTCCTGCTGTTCCATTACAGCTTCTCCCTGTGGGCGGGATGGTGCCAGGGGAGGCCCTCCATCTCCAGGGCAGCAGGAGGCAGCATGGAGCTCAGGGAGAGGGGTCCAGGCTGCCCTGGGCCTGGTGCTGGTCACTCTGGGACCCAGCTTTCTGAACAGGCTCAGCAGCCACCACCGCTGGCCAGATCCTGCGCTTGGCCTGCAGCCGACGTGCCCACAGGACCCTGGACCCTCCTACAGCAGCCTAGCCAGCCTGGAGGACCAAGCCCAGGTGGCAGCCAGCTGTGCCACTGCTCTGGTGACCAACAAGCCACTGGCTCAGGCCCAGACCAGGCTGCAGACCCAGGCAGCACTTTAGCCTGAGCCAGGGACCTGCTGGCTCCTCCACCCACCCTGCAGACAAGCCTGGGCCTGCGCACCGGCTCGGTGTCCACCACTGGCTCCTGAATCAGCAAACACGTGGAATCGTCAGGAATGAGCAGGCGTGTGGTCACCCCGACTGGCCTCACAGTCACAAGACAGCAGCCCTACATTCACATGTACGCTCTGCTGGTTGGTGCAGAGGCCCCGACGGGCACTAGCCGGGGCCTCAGACTCAGCCGCTGACCCAGCAGGTGGGCAGAGGGTGGCAGTGCAGCCTGACTGCGTGCACCGGTGCCTTTCAGACTGGTCCCCACTGCGAGGTGGCGCCTGGACCACAGCACCTTAGGGGTCCATCAGTGTTTAATTTTTTAAATATATTTTTATTGATTTCTTACAGAGAGGAAGGGAGAGGGATAGAGAGTCAGAAACATCGATGAGAAACATCGATTAGCTGCTTCCTGCACACTCCCTAATGGGTATGTGCCAGCAACCAAAGTACATGGCCTTGACCGGAATCAAACCTGGGACCTTGCGCAGGCTGACGCTCTATCCACTGCGCCAAACCGGTTAGGGCTCAATGTGTAACGTTCTCAGAAGAGAAATGGGCAGATTCAGCGGTGGAGACTCACACCCGCCCCCACCCAGCCCCTCAGTCAGACAGGTTCCTGTGCCACGTAGGCATAGTTCTTCTGCAGAATCTTTGTCAACAACCTATCAATAAAAGGTTTTTAATGCAAAAAAAAAAAAAAAAAGAGAGAAATATATAAATAATGAATATGTAATGGATCCCATCTGGAGTGTGTTTGTCTTTATACCAACATAGTTGTAAAATATATTTTCAAGAATTTTTTTATTCAATCCCCAGTCAGGCACATAGAGAATCAACCAACGCACGCATAACCAAGTAGAACAACAAATCAATGTTTCTCTCCTTCCCTCTCTCTCGAAAATAAACAAATGAAATATTATTATTATTTATTTATTTATTGTCCAGCCAGCATGGCTCAGAGATTGAATATGGACCCATGAACCAGGAGGTCATGGTTCCATTCCCAGGTAGGGCGCATGACCAGGTGGTGGGCTCCATCCCCAGTAGGGGGCGTGCAGGAGGCAACTGATCAACAATTGTCTCTCATCATTGATGTTTCTATCGCTTTCCCTTCTTATCTGTAATCAATAAAAATATTTTTTTTTTTAAAAAGAAAAAAATGTTTTTAGGAAGGGGCCCACCCACCAAGGCAAAAATGCCCAGGACTCATGCAGCCCCGAGGGGAGGCAAGTACCTCCCTGGGTATCAGCCCCAAGGTACTCAGATCCAGCACCACACAGGTCTGCTCCCCCCCCCCACTGCCTCCACCCCCCACCCCCCAGCCAAATAAAGCCACAAAGCCCTGCCCTGGTGCTGACAGAGGGCACTTCCGGCCCAGGCCCCACCCCAACGAGGGCACTCTGCTGGGGAGAGTGAGGTGGCTCTGCTGCCTGGCCCAGCCTCCCACCCAGGGCCCACCCCTCTGCCCGCCCCCAGACTGGGTGGGGCGACTTCCTCCAGAGGAACGGAGTGCTGCCCTCCGGAGTCGGGGAGTTTGGAGGATGAGGCCTCTCAGCCCGGAGGTCAGCAGGGAGGAGCGGGCAGACTGGCGGGGGTCCAGGGGGCTGTCCCTGGTCCCTGAGCGTCCCCTCGGTGGCTGCGGGGATTCCTGGGGAGAGGCAGGGAGGTACCAGCCCCACCAGCCCGTCAGCCTGGGGCAGGTCTGGCTCTGCTCTCTCCACACAGCTGTCCTGCTCCGGTGGCCCTTGGGGAAGTGGGGGGTGAGCCTCGGCAGGGCCAGGTCTGTCCCGAGGGGCCACTCAGATGTGCCTCAGACGGCGTCCCAGCCCCTGGCTTCCCTGGCCCTGCCAGGCAGAGTCACCTGAGGTCAGAGCAGGGCTGGGCTGATGAGCACGGGCCTTGGCTGCTCCCCGAGCGGGCGAGCAGGGCCAGAGAGTTCAAGGCCAGCTCTCAGCTCTGCCTCCCCTGCCAGGTTGCCCTCGGCCTGCCCGGCGCCATGGCGGCCCACCTGCTGCCCAGCTGCGCCCTCTTCCTGGCCTTGCTCGGCACGGCCCCCGGCGCCAGGGGCCCCGTGGTGCCCAGCCAGCCCTTCACCACCGTCTGGAACGCCAACACGCAGTGGTGCCTGGAAAGGCACGGCGTGGACGTGGACGTCAGCGCGTTCGACGTGGTGGCCAACCCGGGCCAGACCTTCCTGGGCCCGGACATGACCATCTTCTACAGCTCCCAGCTGGGCACCTACCCCTACTACACGGCGGCCGGGGAGCCCGTGTTCGGCGGCCTGCCCCAGAACGCCAGCCTGGACGCGCACCTGGCCCGAGCGCACCAGGACGTGCTGGCCGCCATGCCCGCCGCCGGCTTCTCGGGGCTGGCGGTCATCGACTGGGAGGCCTGGCGCCCGCGCTGGGCCTTCAACTGGGACGCCAAGGACGTCTACCGGCAGCGCTCGCGGGCGCTGGTCCGGGGGCAGCGCCCGGACTGGCCGGCGCCCTGGGTGGAGGCGGCCGCCCAGGCCCAGTTCCAGGGGGCCGCCCAGGCCTGGATGGGGGGCACCCTGCGGCTGGGGCGGGCCCTGCGGCCCCGCGGCCTCTGGGGTTTCTACGGCTTCCCCGACTGCTACAACTCCGACTTCCGGAGCCCCAACTACACGGGCGAGTGCCCGCCGGGCGTCCGGGCCCAGAACGACCAGCTGGGGTGGCTGTGGGCCCAGAGCCGCGCCCTCTACCCCAGCATCTACCTTCCCGCGGCGCTGGAGGGCACGGGGAAGGCACAGGCGTACGTGCGGCACCGTGTGGGCGAGGCGTTCCGCGTGGCTGGGGGGGCCGGGGACCCCAGTCTGCCGGTGCTGCCCTACGTCCAGATCTTCTACGACTTCACCAGCCGCTTCCTGCCCCTGGTGAGTCCCCCCCCCCCCCGAGGCCCTGCCCCCCTCCGGCCCGCCTCGTGGGCATTAGGTCCGGCAACGGACGCCACACAGCCCGGTGGTGGCGCTTTCGCCCCTTCGTCCTCACGTCCTTGAACACCTACTGTGTGCCGAGGTCTGTGCCAGGACGCAGGCCCCGCCTGCATGGCACCCAGGCGAGAGCGGGATAGGCTGGCCTCCGGCGCCGGGGCGAGTGGCCCCAGGCAGGGAACAGGAACCTTTGGCTCATCCAGTGGCTTCCAGCACTGGCTGGGAGGGAGGGGGGGCCACAGAGCCACCTGTGCCTGTGCTTCCCCCCAGGAGGCGCTGGAGCACAGCCTGGGGGAGAGTGTGGCCCAGGGAGCGGCAGGAGCAGTGCTCTGGGTGAGCTGGGAGAACACCAAGACCAAGGTGAGCTCAGGCCCAGGCGGGGGAGGGGGGATGAGGGGCAGAGGTCGGCTGGAGAGACCCGGGTCCATCCTTTCCACCCTGCAGACCTGTGGGCTGACCAGCGAGGGCCTCAGTGCCCTAGGGGGGCCCACACGTGGCCCGGTGTCCCTGACGTGCCTCCTCCCGCCCAGGGGTCATGCCAGGCCATCAAGGAGTACGTGGACAGCACGCTGGGGCCCTTCATCCTGAACGTGACCAGTGGGGCCCGTCTGTGCAGCGAGGCCCTGTGCTCCGGCCACGGCCGCTGTGCCCGGCGCCCCGACCACCCCGAGGCCCTCCTCCTGCTCAACCCCTCGAGTTTCTCCATTGAACTCCCGGCTGGCGGTGGGCCCCTGACCCTCCGAGGCGCCCTCTCCCCTGAGGATCGGAAACGGATGGCGGTGGAGTTCCAGTGTCACTGCTACCCGGGCTGGAGGGGCGCCGGGTGTGAGCAGCGGGGCCGGTGGTGACTGGCACCCTCCGGTGCACGCCGAGTCATGTAACAGTGCGCTCCAGGACCGGCCCAGCTACACAGGCCATGCACACTCGGGGTACAGTCAGGAGCACCAGCCTGGATGCTCACATACCATGTACTTCCCGGGAGTCTCCGGCACCCACCTCAGGGTCTCTAACGTCACCTCTAGAGAGAGGGGGCCGTCTTTGAACAGCAGCAATCATAAGAACGGCCATTCTGAGCGCCTGCTCCTCTCCGAGCCCCGTGCTGAGCACGTGAGATGTCCTGACTCATTCAGCCTCGGGCGCCGCCGAGAAGGCGCTGAGCATCACCCCATGGCCAGGTTCCGGGGAGGCTGGGATCACCACCGGCGTCGGCTGCAGCGGGGCGCCCTGGCTCCGCGGGGTGCATGGTCAGCAGCCTGCATCCTGTCAATAAAGCAGATGTGATTCTCACTCCAGAACTGAGAGGAGCGACTTAGCCACGTGCAACTCCGGACCGGAGGGCACCGGAAGGTTCCCCTGGGATGGACGTCTGCACCAGGGCGGCTACTTCCCAGGCTGGGACCCCGCTATCAGGAGGAAGCTCCACCGGCTGCTTCCACCGGAGGGAGCCGAGACAGAGCGGCGCGGGGGCGAGGCGGAAACGGGGGCAGCTGGAGGTGGTAACAAGCAGGGGTGGGTTGGGAGGGCACCGGAGGGGCTCCGGGAGCCGAAATGAGGCGGGTCCTTAGCGGTGATGCGTGGAACCACAGCCTGGCCGGGGCGGGGCGGGGCCTTGTGGGCGGGGCCAGCGGGAGGCGGAGCAGGCGTTGAGCTGTGACTCGCAGGGGCAGGGCGGGGCCCAGCGCCAATGAGTGGGAGGGGGCGGGGCCTGCGTCGGGTCAGTGTTAGGACTCACGCACCGGGGGGCGGGGCCCAGAGCCGGGGGCGGGGCCCAACGGGGTGGGGCGGGGCCTGCGTCGGGTCGGTGTCAGGACGCACGCGCCGGGAGGCGGGGCCTGGCCGCCCTGGAAGACTCGGGACCAGGTGGGGCGCGGCGGGCCGCGATGGCTGCAGTGCCTCCGCCGCGCCGCTAGGGGGCAGCGCGGACGGGTGAAGGAGTCCGAGCCAGAGACAACGAGATCCGGACCCGTGCGGAGCGGGACGCCGAGCATCCTGGAGCCCAGCTGCAACATGTCAGTACCGCCCCCTCCCCACGCGCGGCGTGTCCGTTAGCATTGCCCTCCCCCGCGCTTCTGCCCGCTCTGTGCGTCAGGTCGCGTGGCCGTGTCGCGCCTCTCGCTCTCCCTGTGTCTGGGGTTCCCTCCCGGAGCGTGCCGAGCCACACCCAGCCACTGTCCACTGTCAAGTTTCCAAGCCCCCACCCCCGAAACCCCATGGTTTACGGCCCAATTAGGAGGGAGGGGAACCGAGGCTCCGGAGGGCCGCCTGTCTCTGAGCCCAGGAACCCCGCCCACGCGGGGTGGGGTGGCACGAAGGGGTTAAGCCCGCGGGGGAGCCTGGGGTTCCTGGTCCAGATGCGGATCTCGGGGCTTCCTCCCTCCTGGTCAAGGGGTGCGGCTGCTGCGGAGGTGGCTGGAGGTGGCTGGTGGAGGTGAGGGGCTTCCGAGTGGAATGTGGCTGAGGGGAGGGGGCGACCTGTTCCTCACATTGGCCTGGAGCTCAGGGGGCAGCTGGGGAGCTGGGGGAGGGAGCCAGGACGTCCCCTCTGGCGAGGAGGCGAGTAGAATAGTGGGGACCAGCGCGCCTGCCTCAACCCCCACCGCCAGGCATCCCCCCAGCACAGACCCTGTCTGCAGGGCCCGGGCAGAATGGGCAAGCAGTGGGGTTTGGGGCAGGAGGTCTGGCCCCCTAACCTGGTGGCCGTTGGCCCCCTGTGGATGTGGGAGGAAGCTGTGGGCCTTATCTAGAGCAGCTGCGCAAGAAACGCAGGCCCCGGGGAGCCAGGCCTGCAAGAGCCACAGTGCGGGTGGCTGTGAGCGGGGACCTTGCTGGGGCCCCGTCGGAGGGGACAGTTGGAGCCAGGACCCTCCGCAGTGTCCTGGGAGAGAAGGAGGTGCTTGTGGAAGCACAGGTTGGGCTGCGCCGATGCCAGCTTTAGAGATGGAGAGGGCCGTGAGCCTAGGGGGGCAGGCGCCTCTAGGATTCAGCGGTCAGCAAACTCATCCGGCCACAGAGCCACATGCCAGCAGCACAACGGTGAAGTTTCTTTGGAGAGCCACATTCTTTAAACTTCCACGTCTCCTAACGCCACTTCTTCAACACAGACTCGCCCAGGCCGTGGTGTTTTGTGGAAGAGCCACACTCAAGGGGCCAGAGAGCCGCAGGTGGCTCGTGAGCCGCAGTTTGCCGACCACGGCCCTAGGCCTAGAAGCTGGAAAAGGGCAGGGCAGTGGGTTTTTTCCTAGAGCCCCCGGAAGGGACCGGCCCTGCAGAACCTCCCTCAGCCCAGGGAGACCCATTTCCGGTGTCTGCCCTCCCAAACTGTTATGGTAATTGGTAATTGCTTTGTATTGTAAGCATGGCGCTCGCACAGGTCCTGGGCTGGGCTGGGCTGGGCTGGGCAGTGTTGGGGAGGGGCCGTGGGCTGGAAGCCCATCCAGGCGAGAGAAAAGAGCCTGATGGGTGAGTGAGTGGCACACAGGCCGCCTCCCCCCTCAGTTATGTGGCGAGCATGGCCCACGGGGTTAGAGGTGTGGCCTGGACTTCGGGAAGGGGGATGGGAGGACAGCCCTGGGGCGTTAACAAGGGGTCATTGCGTCTGCTTTGCATGAGCTGCCTGTGGCCAGCCAGTCGCCATGCTGCAGGGCTAGGTCAACTGTCCTGGGGAGGACAGCGCTGCAGCCAGAGCCGCTGGCCAGGCCACCTGAAGCCATCCCTCTGCTGTCCACTGAGTCTCCCCTCTCCCCCCACCCCACACCCCAAGCGTAGGTCCCTCCAGTCCACCTGCACCATCAGGTGAGCGTGGGAACAAGGTGCAGCCCTCCACTCCTTGCTAGAGGGCACGTGGCTCCCCCGGGCACTCTGTCCACTTCCCCCTGCCCCAGCCCGTCCTCTCTCCTGGCACAGCCCGGCCTGGCTGGTGTCCACAGGAGGAGCACTTTGTGTTTGAGGAGATGCCACTTTCCTGGAGACCTTGGCCTGAACCCCCAGCCTGGCACTGAGCCACTTGCAACCTGAGCTAGGGGCCAGCTCCCAGCATGACGCAGCTGCGCCCGGACCTTACACGGAGGCCTGAGCTGACTGAGCCTCGCCTCGCCGCCTGACCCCTCCCCTAGACCCTCCCAACTGGCTGGAGCGGATCCTGAGCCCCAGCCGGCCGAGCTGACTCCGGATCCTGCCTGCCAGCTGGCGCTGACCCCGAGATTCCAACCGGCCAAGCAGCCCCAGGACCCTGCACACCAGCCAGAGCGGACCCGGAGCCCCAGGCCAGCTGCGCTGACCTCGGGGTCTGCATGCTGTCCAGAGATGACCCTCCTCCCTGGCTTGGCTGAGCTGACCTTGGACCCCACGCACCGGCCAGAGGCCACCCCAGCCCCCAGCCTGGCGGAGCTGACCCTGGAGCCCGTGCACTGCCGGCCCGAGCTCCTGGACGCCTGCGCCGACCTCATCAACGAGCAGTGGCCGCGCAGCCGCGCCTCCCGCCTGCATTCCCTGGGCCAGTCCTCCGACAGCTTCCCCCTCTGCCTGATGCTGCTGAGCCCCCACCCCGCGCCTGGGCACGCCCCCGTCGTGGTGGGGCACGCCCGCCTCTCACGGGTGCTGGACCGGCCCCAGAGCCTCTTCGTGGAGACGGTGGTGGTGGCCCGGGCCCTGAGGGGCCGTGGCTTTGGCCGCCGCCTCATGGAGGGCCTGGAGGCCTTTGCTCAGGCCCGGGGCTTCCGCCGGCTGCACCTCAGCACCCGTGACCAGCTGCCCTTCTATGCCCACCTGGGCTACCAGCTGGGGGAGCCGGTGCAGGGCCTGGTGTTCACCAGCCCACGGGTGCCTGCCGCTCTGCTCCGTGTCTTCTCCAACGCCCCGTGCCCCCGGCCGCCCTGCAAGGCCCCTGGCCCGGCTGCCCACGCTGCCCCCACAGCCTCCAAAGGGCCGTCGCTGCCGCCACCCCCTCCCCTGCCCGAGTCCCTGGCCGCCTCCCCGCCCGCTCCAGCGGGGCCCCCTCCGCAGAGCCCGCTGGAGACAGGGTACCGTGACCTGAGAGCGGGCCCCGTCTTTTGGATGGAGAAGGACATCTGAGGGGCTCCTAGGACAAGGCACCCTCTTTCTGGTTCATGGACTCCCCAGGACAGTCCCGCCTCCGCCCCTGGCCCCAGGGGCCGCTGAGAGGGGGGTGGGGGCAGGACATGGCCCCCAGGCTGGGGCTCCGCGCTGTCGGAGTGGCTGAATAAAGGCTTCTGTCGGGCGTGGCCATGACGGTTCATTTGTTGATCCCCACCCTCGCCTCCCAGGCTCAGCTTAGGTCCCCCGTCCTGCAGGAGCCCAGGTCCACCTCGGCTGGCCGTGGATGGAGGAACCCCTGCATCTGCCCCTCCCAGCCGGCCAGGCTCAGGAGAAAGGGAGTCTGTTCTCTCCACACTCACTCACTCACTCCTCACCACTCTCTGAGCACCTACCGGCTGTCAGGCCCTGGCTGCCCACGGGCAATGGGGGATCAGACCCACAGATAGGATCAGGACCCCAGGGGACAGATCCGTAGGCAGACAGAGCCGGCAGCAGCCTGCTGGGATGGTGGGAGCCCTGTGCGGTGATGTTGGGAGACAGGCTGAGTGCCAGCTGGGGCTGCGGGCCTGGGGCAGGAGAAAGGGCGGGCAGAGGGAAGGGTTAAGGGTGGAGAGCAGGAGGGGAGCAGCCAGGCCAGCCCTGGTGGGGCTGCTCTGAGAGGCCCCGGGGCCTGTCGGGGGCCATGCTTTCCCCACTGGGGGGAGGGGCTCGGGACACTCTCCCCACCGTGCGGGAGGCATGGCCTTGGACCCTAAGCTCACACCTTCTCTCCTGCAGGTCCGTTCCCGGGGCGAGACCATGCAGCTGGGCACGGCCCTGGTGCTCGGGGCGGCCCTGTGCCTGGGGCGTGGCCAGCCCCCACCGGGGGCCCCCGAAGCCCCCTTCTCCGTGCTGTGGAACGTGCCGTCCGCACGCTGTGGGGCCCGCTTTGGCGTGCACCTGCCGCTGGAGGCCCTGGGCATCGCTGCCAACCGTGGGCAGAGCTTCCACGGGCAGAACATCACCATCTTCTACAAGAACCAGCTGGGCCTCTATCCCTACATCGGGCCCGGGGGCACAGCTCACAACGGGGGCATCCCTCAGGCCGTGCCCCTGGACCGCCACCTGGCACGCGCCGCCACCCAGATCCACCGCAGCCTGAGACCCGGCTTCGCCGGCCTGGCGGTGCTGGACTGGGAGGAGTGGTGCCCGCTCTGGGCTGGGAACTGGGGCCGCCGCCGCGCCTACCAGGCGGCCTCGTGGGCCTGGGCACGGCGGGCACTGCCCCGCCAGGACCCCCGGGAGCAGCTCCGCCAGGCCCGGGCCGCCTTCGAGCAGGCGGCGCGGGCGCTGATGGAGGGCACCCTGCGGCTGGGCCGGGCGCTGCGGCCCCGGGGCCTCTGGGGCTTCTACCGCTTCCCGGCCTGCGGCAACGGCTGGCACGGCGCGGCTGCCCATTACACAGGCCGCTGCCACCCAGCCGCCCGGGCCCGCAACTCCCAGCTGCGCTGGCTCTGGGCCGCCTCCAGCGCCCTCTTCCCCAGCATCTACCTGCCGCCCCGGCTGCCGCCCGCGCACCGCCAGGCGTTCGTGCGGCACCGCCTGGAGGAGGCCTTCCGCGTGGCCCGGTCCGGGCACCCCCACCCCCTGCCGGTGCTGGCGTACGCCCGCCTCACCCGCCGACGCTCCGGACGGTTCCTGTCCCAGGTGAGGGACGGCCGGTGTCCAGCGGGGAGGCCTGGCCCTGTCTTAGGAAGGTCTGGCAGGGGTGGGGATTGGGGGGGTGGGGTGGGAAGGGGAGGCCCTGGTCTGGTTCTGAGGGGGGCATTCCTATCCTGGAGCATCTGCCAGGTGTGGCTCTGCCCTGGGGGAGGCACCGCCAGCCTTGGGGCCCTGATCTGAGAGGAGACATTCTCTGAGTGGAGGGGCTCGGTGCCGAGGGGCCCTCTCTAGAGGCGGGATCCGGTTGGGGCGCTGAGTCAGGGATGTTTCTGGAAGGCGGGGGCAGGCCCGGGGGGGGGGGGGGGGACGTGGCAGCTCAGCCGGGCCCTCTGCCTCCAGGATGACCTCGTGCGGACCATCGGCGTGAGCGCGGCGCTGGGGGCAGCCGGCGTGGTGCTCTGGGGCGACCTGAGTCTCTCCAGCTCCGAGGTGATCACTGCCCCCCGCTGCCACGCGGCCCAGGCTGGGGGGCCCAGGCTGGGGGTGCCAGGGCCATGGAGCGGACACACTGACACGGCCCCCCCTTTCCCCAGGAGAAGTGCTGGCGCCTTCACGACTACCTGGTGGGCACCCTGGGCCCCTACGTGACCAGCGTGGCCAGGGCGGCCGCAGCCTGCAGCCGCCAGCGGTGCCACGGCCACGGGCGCTGTGCCCGGCGACACCCGGGACAGCAGGAAGCCTTCCTGCACCTGCCGCCAGGGGGCGGCGCTGGGGCCTGGGAGCCCTTTAGATGCCACTGTTACCGGGGATGGGCCGGCCCCACCTGCCAGGAGCCCAGGCCTACACCAGGGCCTGAGGAAACATAAAGCCAAGGGTCCCCTGCTGTGACCTTCTGTCCCCGCCGCCATTTCGAGCCCTTGAGGATTCTGTCCCACTCTTGTCCTCTCTCTCACACACACCCTACTTCCCATGGGATCCCTGGGGAGTGGAAGGGGCCAGAAAACAAATTTCCACTATTTTAAAACCAGAGGCCCTCAGATCCCCTGTTCCTGCTACAAAGGAAGCTGACCTAGGGGGAGAGAGAAGGTTCCAGATGGTGAGGGTGCCAGCCCAGGGCTCTGTTTCCACACATCACGGGTCCACGGAGAGAGATGCCGAAGGAAGGGGTCAGGCGGGTCTCAAGATGTCGACCAAGGTCTGTGCGCGCTGAACTGTTGTCTGTACTTCGCTTTCATCATAAAGTCACTTTCTTTCGCTGCCTGACGTTTGGCTGTTCACTGCGTTGTCCCGCGCCCCATGCTCATGGAGTCGCGAGTGTCCGCTGCACGCGTCCAGAGATGCGAGTCCTGCGTGGTGGGCAGCTTTCAAAGTTAACGCTTGTGGCGTGTGCAGGGGGTGTGGGTCGGGGAGAACACCGAGGGCTGTGGGCGCACAGTTCAGCGAGAGTCGCGGGCTTCAGAGTCAAGGGAGTGGACTACAATTCCCGAGATGCTCCGGGCCAGCCTTCATACGCGCGCACAGCCCCCTGGGAGTAGTAGTTCCGGCCTCGTGGCTGCGGGCCGGGACCGGACGGCCAGGAACTCGCCTTCCCGGCAACCTGTCCAGCAGGGCGGGGCGCTCCGACCGGTTCGGCAGGGCGGGGCGCCTCGCGAAGATGGTGGTACGCGCGGCGTGTGGCTCCCGTCGCCCGCCTCAGTCTCAGCTCCGCGCAACGGCCGGCGGCTCGCTGGTCTGGAGCCCCAGCCCGCCGGGCCCCTGACCCCGCGCCCCTCGCGCCCGGTGCCGGAATGCCCCGCTCCCGCAAGGGCAGCGCGCCCCGCAAGGGCGGCCCGCGCCGCAGAGGCGGTGAGTGTGGGCGCGGGCAGCGGAGGGGCGGCGGGCGGGGGTCCCGGTGTGGGTCCCCGCGGTGGCCCTGAGGGTCCTGGGCGGGAGTCCCGCTGGGCCAGCGGGCGCCGCTCCCCGCAGCTCCCGCGCCCGCACGTGCCCCGGGGACCCGGCCACGTGTGCGCCCGAGGGGAGCGCGCCGCTGGCTCCGGAGCCTGCGCCCCCGAATCTGCCGCGGTGGGCGCCCCGGACTCGGTTTCCCCTCTGCTCCTCCGCCCCAGCTGCTGCTTTGTCAGCCAAACCCGCAGGACGGAAGGAAGCTCGCCCCCTCCCCAAGCTCGGGTCCTTCCTGAGCCGCACTAGCAAGTTGGTGGGAGGCCTGGGGGAGAACCGAGGGAGGGAGGGGGCGATGGGGGTCCCGGGCCTGCGGCCTGGGTGGACCGGCCCCAGACGGCGGACTGAGCCCTGGAGCCTGAGGCAGCCGCAGAGCTTATCGGCTTGCACCAGGCGTGTCTGGCGGAGCCAACAGATGTTAACGTGCGCGCTGGGTGGGGTGCCTGCGGGGCAGAGCAGAGACCTGGGCTTGGGCGGGAGAGCATCTAAGAGGGTCGTGCTGTTCCGGAATGGCTGGTTGGGGCAAAGCTCACGGAGTGTGCCAGCCCCAGGGGTAGGCAGCCAGGGAAGCCTCAGGGTGAGCCCTGGGAAGGTGAAGGAGAGCCACACGCGGAGGGAACCGGTGGCGCAGAGGCCTGGCACCTGGAGGGGTCGGGGAGCCGCTGAGGGGCGGCGGGCTGCCTGGCTGGTGCGGGGGGAGAGGAGACGGGCAGCGGCCGGCGTGGGGGTCGGACTTTGTCCGCAGGCACATGGAGGGCGGAGCTCCTGGGGCGAGGACCAGCCTGGCGATCAGAACCCCCTGGGGGCTCAGCTGTGACCACTGCCCCGGCCCACGCAGAACCGGCGCACACGGGTGTTCAGTTCTGCTGAGCCGACGCTCCCGAGTCAGTGTTTTCAGGGGCTCCTGCAGTCAGGGGCCACCCCTTTCTGCACCTCCCAGGGCAGGCGGAGCCTCGGTGCTCACCCTCCCAGGGCTGAGGGCCGGGCTGGGCCCAGGGCAGCTCAGGAGACAGTGCCTGGAAGCCGGGGCGCCCACCCACCTCCCTAGGGCCTGGGCTCTGCCCCCAGGGCCGATGGTGGGGGTGAGCCTGTCGCTCCCAGAAGGGCCTTCGCTGGTCACTCAGTGCTTGTGTGCCTGACCTGGCTGCACCCCGTTCAGAGGTGCCGCTGGGATTGAACCCTGGGTCTGTCTTGTTCTGTAAGCCAAGTCCCTGACTCTTGCTCTGGCCATTTGGGGGCATCATCCGGGCGGGTGACAGCTCCCCCAGGCGAGGCTAGGCATGCGCCCCCTTCAGGCGGGGCCTGTACAGCCCCTTCTGCCTCCCCCTGGCCTTCGGGCTTCAGAGGCAGTGGTCTGGGCTCGGCTCTCCCAGGGGCCCTAGGCTGGGCCTGGTCGGCCTCGCTCCCTTTCTCCTGCTTCCCGGCTCAGCCCTGTGCCTCCCGCCTCTGGTTTTCTCGTCTCTGGGAGGGGCAGCCTCCTGTCTTGGGGGGCCGTGAGGCTGGATGAGGTACCCCAGCCCTCACTCATCCAAGAAGGCGACCACGTGGTCCGTCCCACCCTCCCAGGTGCTCAGAGCAGCGCCCAGGCGGACTCGGGCTCCAGTGAGGACGAGGCGGCCAGTGAGGCCCGCAGCACCACCAGCGACTGCCCCAGCCTCGCCAGCGCCTCGGCGGAGGACGGCCTCGGTGAGAGCGCGGGTGGTTCGGCAGGGATCGGCAGGGCCTTCGGGGCCAGGGCTGACCAGGTGGCCTTGCAGGGGGCGATGCCGTGGACGAGCAGGGCCAGCAGGAGGATCTGGAGGAGAAGCTGAAGGAGTACGTGGACTGCCTCACCGATAAGAGGTACCCGGGCTGCCTGCCACCCGCCTGCCCCCCTGTCCCTGCTCAGCCCGTGGCGGGTGCGACCGGGCCGGGCTGGCCCTCAGGACCCCCTCCCCCCTCCCCCTGCCCCCCAGTGCCAAGACGCGGCAGGGCGCTCTGGAGAGCCTGCGCCTGGCCCTGGCCGCCCGCCTGCTCCCCGACTTCCTGCTGCAGCGCAGTCTCACGCTGGCCGACGCCCTGGAGAAGTGCCTCAGGAAAGGTGGGGTGCCGCCGTGGGGGCCTGAGTGGCGGGGGGCTGCCCCGGTGCCCGCTGACTGCAGGCGTCCCCGCAGGGAAGGGCGAGGAGCAGGCGCTGGCCGCCGCCCTGGGGGGCCTGCTCTGCGTGCAGCTGGGGCCGGGGCCGCAGAGCGAGGAGTTGTTCCAGGGCCTGCAGCCCCTCCTCGTGTCCGTGCTCACCGACCCCACCGCCAGCCCCTCCGCCCGGCTCCACGTGAGTGTGCGGTGCCCGAGCAACCTTCCCTCCCTCCACATCCCTCCGCGGAGAAGCGGCTCCTCCTGCCGCCAGGCCTCCCCCCCACCCCACCCCCCCCGCTCCCCCCGCTCTGAGGCTGAGCCCCACGGGGAACCAGGGCTTCCTCTCTGACCATGATCTTTGTCTCCCCACAGTGTGCTTCTGCTCTGGGCCTGGGCTGCTACGTGGCTGCCGCTGACATCCAGGTACGTGGCCTGTGGGCGCAGGGAGTGGGGCACCAGGCCCGAGCCCGCCCCTGAGCCGCTCCCCTCCTCCCCGTGCCCCTAGGACCTGCTCTCCTGCCTCACCTGCTTGGAGGGGGTTTTCGGCCGGCCCTGCAGTGCGGGCGGCTCCACAGCCCCTGCCAACCTGCATGGCGTGTTCTGTGCCACCCTGCAAGCCTGGGCATTGCTGCTCACCATCTGCCCCAGCAGCCACCTCAGCCACATCCTGGACAGGTAGCGGTGACTGCCCACGGGGCGGGAGGGGAGCGTGAGGGGCCCCAGCCCACACACGTAGCTCAGCTCGCCCCCTCCCCAGGCAGCTGCCCCGGCTGCACCAGCTCTTGTCCAGTGAGACTGTGAACCTGCGGATTGCCGCCGGCGAGACCATCGCGCTGCTCTTTGAGCTCGCCCGGGACCTTGAGGTGTGAGGGGAGGGCGCCTCCGACACCCCACGCCCCTCCCCGGCTGGCGCAGGGGATGCCGGCGAGACAGGGCAGCCTGCGGTCAGAGCAGAGAGCCAGGCTGGGGGGCAGGCAGGGCCTGCGCCAGGGCCCTGAGCAGGGCTGCCCGGCCCAGCGGGTGCAGGCGGGCCCGGGGCCCAGGCAGAGGAGAGTGACGCCCTCAGTGACAGGCAGGGGGAGGGCAGCCCGCGTGCAGCCTGCAGAGCTCAGGCCCCGCCGCCCCCGCCCCCGCCCCCGCCCGCAGGAGGACCTGACCTACGCGGACATGGACGCCCTCTGCGGCGCCCTGCGCACGCTGGCCACCGACAGCAACAAGCACCGCGCCAAGGCCGACCGCCGGCGCCAGCGCGCCACCTTCCGCGCCGTGCTGCACTACGTGGAGGTGCGTGTGCGGGCACGTCCCGGTGAGGGTCCCCGGCCCGCCCCGCGCCCTCTCACCGCCCTGTGCCCGCAGGGCGGCGACTGTGAGGAAGAGACCGTCCGCTTCGGCCTGGAGGCGCTCTACGTGGACAGCTGGGCCCGGCGCCGCGTCTACGCCGCCTTCAAGGACGCGCTGGGGTCCGGCCTGCACCACCACCTGCAGGTGGGGAGCGGGCCGGGAGGGGGCGCCGGCGAGCCCCTGCACACACACACCCCCCACCCCGCTCACTGTCCTCTCCCCCAGAACAACGAGCTGCTCCGTGACGTCTTCGGCCTGGGCCCCGCGCTGGTGCTGGACGCCGCCGCCCTGAAGGCCTGCAAGGTCTCCCGCTTCGAGAAGGTCTGCGCCTCTGTTCCGCTGCCCGGCGCTCCGCAGGGGCAGGAGGGGCCCTGCCCCCCCATCCCCGCTCACAGACCCCCTGCCCCCCCGCAGCACCTGTACAACGCAGCCGCCTGCAAAGCGCGGACCAAGGCGCGCAGCCGCGTGCGGGACAAGCGGGCGGACGTGCTGTGAGGCCGGCCCCGATCTGACAGAAGACGCGCACAGCTGGTCCTGCCGGGAAGTGTCGCTTTATTTTTTAACGGCTGAACCAAACACAGACACGGGTGGGCGGCTGGCGCCAGGCCACTCGGGACCCTGCCCTCGGCCAGTGGCCTCTGCTGCCCTGTGTCCGTCCGTCAGGCCTGGGCCCTGTCCCGGAGGAGCCGCTCCCCGAGGGCGGGGAAGCTCGGGGACGTCACCACGTGCGGAGGGGAGGCCTCATGTGCGGGTTTTTAAAGACATTGGAGGTGATTAAACTGCCAGCCTGCTGTGGCCCTGGCTCCTGGGTGTCTGCCTGCCCCTTCCCTCCCCTCCCCCCCTCCCCTCCCCTCCCCTTCCCCCCTCCCCTCCCCAGCTTGGGCCCAGCTCACTCTTCCAGCTCTGCCTTGCTGAGCCCTCCGGAGCCTCCCAGGTGCCCTCCTGCTCTGCCCGGCCTGTCCTGAGAGCTGAGGCCGGACCCCCTCTGGGGAGCCTGGCCACATTGGGGTGAGTGGGGTGGGTGGGGCAGACTTGGGAGCCTGCTCTCGGGGAGGCCATGGCGTGCTGGCCGGCCACAGGAGGAGCCTGGAGCTGGCATTGCGTCCCCTGACCTTGAGCCACCCGAGCAGGGCCTTGGCCCAGGAGCCTTGGCCAGGCCTGGCCCAAGGAGGCCAGCAGGCAGCCAGCCTGGGGCCCGGTCGGGTTCTGGCACAGAAACCCTCAAGGACGTGGTGTGGAGCAGCAGAGGGAGAGGAGAGACCTGCCAAGGGCCAGTTTATTCCCCGCAGACCCCTCCCCCTGACTCCAGCCCGGCCCATCTCAGCTGGGCGCCCCGGCCTCGCTGGCGGCCTCGCTGGCATTGAGCCTCCGCAGCTGGCTGAGGCTGGCCAGCCGCAGCTTGAGCAGGGTCTCCTCCTGCGCGCGCAGGGTGTGCGCCATGGTGTGGAGGGATTCGCTCTGCAGCACTGCGGGCGGCAGGAGGGGGGTTATCAGGCCATGTGCCCCCTCACCCTGTGACTCCCCACCATCCAGCTCTGAGCCCACCCGCACGGCCTGGCCCCCCCATACCGCTCAGGTAGACCCCCAGGATGGCCAGCGCCAGGCAGGCGAGCACCAGCAGGGCGAGCAGCAGCAGGAAGGCCCCGCGGCTGCAGCCGGGAGGCAGGAGGCCCAGCAGCTCGTCCCACGGCTGCGCCTCCTCGGCCAGGTAGGGGCACAGCAAGCCTGCGGGCAGATGGGGCGTCAGGAGAGGATTGGGCGCAGGCTGGCCGTCCGTCCCCCCAGCCCTCCGCCCGCCCCTCACCTCCGCCGTGCAGGTCGCTGATGGACTCCACCCGGAGCAGGCTCACCTCCTGCACGTGGTTGGCCAGGGCCGCCCGGTTCCCCAGGCTCGGTGCCGGTGCCGATACCGGTGCCGTGGTGTCTGTGGGGGCAGCACGGTTGGTCCAGCCGGTGGGTCGCCCCCTCCTCCTGGGTGGCTCTCAGAGGCAGCACGGGCTCCGAGGTGGGGACAGGGCGACGGGCCGTGGGCTCAACCCCCTAAGTCCAGCTCCGGAATCGTGGAGCCCGGATGACCCTGAGCCCATAGCTGGCTCACCCAGGAGCGGCGAGGCCCAGCTTGCTCAGGTGTTTTCCTCCCAAGCCCCTCGGCCTCGCAGGTGCTCCTCTGCTCCCTCATGGCCAGACCGGTTACCAGCCTCCGGGGCAGCCACGGCGCGTGCTCAGTCCTGCCTCCTGCTGGGCCCTGGAGTTAGCATCAGGCCGCAGCCTGGGGGCCTGGGCCCCGCGGAGCAGAGCCTCCCTCCTGGGCTGCGGTGCTGCGGGAACCTGCTGTTGTCCCTCAAAACCCCAGGGAGGCCTGCCCCTGCCCCCAGGCGCCCGCTGGGCTGTGCCGATTCCGTCTCCAGTCCCTGCGGGAGCTGGTCGCCCAGCGGAGGACGCCACCGCTGAGGATGGCCCGCTCTCTGTTTCCCAGTCGTGAATACGGACAGGTTCTGGGGAGCAGGACCAATGGGTCCAAAAGCAGGGACTTTTAAGAAAAATGTCTTCAAATTTTCCCCCAGAATGGCTGCCCACAGCCCCAAAAGGGTACACCATTGCCACCGTTGGGCATCTCCACTGGGAAAATGTACATGTACACACGTGTACGCCTGCGGGTGCCTGATCTGTGTGGCTCCCTCATCATCACGGCCTCTTCCCAGCCTGGGCTCTGCACTTTTCCTGGATTTTAATTACTCGTTTTTGGATCCATCAAAGTATTGATTTTATGATTTCTACAGGTTATATTTTTTTAAAACAGTTTTTTCTTTGTTGCTAATCCTCACCCAAGACCATTTTCCCATTGGTTTTGAGGGAGTGGAAGGGAGGTAGAGAGACATATCGATGAGAGAGACGTATCAGGTCGGTCCTTCCATGCGCCCTGACCAGGGCCAGGGCCAGGGCCCCAGCCTGCAACCTAAGTACGTGGCCTTGACCTGAGCAAACCTGGGTCCCTTCAGACCACTGGCTGGCGCTCTATCCACAGAGCCCAACCGGCTAGGGCAAGCTATATTTGCTTCCAGTTGTTAATTGTCTTGATTTTTAAAATACGTTTCTATGACACATGGTGGGCAAATTGCACTGAGTACCCACCACTCAAAGGGAAATCATTTTCTGACCCCCCCCCCCCCCCCGCAAAATACTGAAAGTGATGGGCGCTGGCTGGCTGAGCCAGGCTGGGGCCCAGGAGCGCTGCATCCTCCCCTGCAGTGGCCCTGAGCCTGCTGGGCCCCGTTCCGCCCCTTTGGCATGGGGGGCAGTCAGCGAGCAGCCACCAGTCTTACGTAGCCACTCTGACCCGCCAAGAGACCCAACCTCAGCCAGGTGGGGCCACTCGGGCCCAAGATGGAGGAAGCCAGAGCCTTGCTCCTCCCAGTCCTGGGCCATGTGCCCAAATGCTTCCTGCACCCCCTGTCCCCCAACCCCCTAGTCCCTCCTCCTTCCATGAAGGAAGAGCTGAACTGGCCAGGCAGCTGTCCCACACTCAAGTGGTGCAGCCTGCAGTTAACCCTCCCCCTGCTGGGTGGCCCCAGCCCTCCCTGCCGTCCCCAGGGAAACGGGCAGGCCTCAGGGGGTCTTCCTCCAGGGACGGTGCAGGCCCCACTGCTCAGCTGGGACTGGAGACTGATGAGTGA